ATGAGGTGTCTGAAGACAGCTATGGTGTACTTACATATAATAATAATAATAAAAAAAACTTTTGAAAAAACCAACAAGAAAACATCCTTTCACTTGCATCTGCCTCAGGAAGACTCCTTCAGGTGTTTGCCCTAACAGAACATCCATCCTCCGACACAACTGACCTTCCAAAGAACCCTAAGTTTCCACTTCACATTACGGAAGGAAAAATAAGAAACTTGCCATGATTAAAGATAAGCTATTAAAAATAAATGAACCTAATCCCACTAAGCCAGTTCTGCAGAAGATACTGGAAGGACTTTTTAGAATGAATAGAAAAATCATTCAAATCCATCCAGAAGGCCGCAAGAAAGAAGAAACCACAGTAGAATAGTACTAAGTAAGCAAGGGAAGTAAAGGCTCCCCCACAGACACATAAAACAAAATCGACCAACATACTCTCTGATAATAACCGGAATACAATTCCCCAGTTAACAGACACAGGCTAGTGGGCTGGGTACCTGCCACAGCATTATCTCTTGGTGAGTACCACGTGCCGGACAAGATGCATTCACTGGTACAATAGCGGCCTGGCCATTGTGGGGATAATCAACCACTTTCTAATTAAATCTGAGGCCTGATCCTCAGAAGGGAATTCATGTCTCATAGTGTCTTAGGGTTTCTATTGCTGTGATGAAACACCATGACCAAAAGCAAATTTTGGAGAAAAGGGTTTATTCCGCTTATACATCCAGGTAACAGAGCATCACCGAGAAGGGTCAGGGCAGCAGCCTGGAGGTAGGAGCTGATGCACAGGGCAGAGGACCAGCCTGCTGTACCTCACGGCTTGCTCAGCCTGCTTTTTTATAGCATCCAGGGCCACCAGCGTGGGGGTGGCCCCACCCATAGTGTACTGTGTCTCACGACATCAATCACTAATTAAGGAAATGCCCTATAGGCATACCCACTCGCCAATCCTATGGAGACTCTCATTTTCCCAACGGGCTCTCCCTCCTCTACGATGGCTCTACCTTGTGTCAGGTTGACCTTAGAACCCAGCCCGCGCACACTGTAATCCTGCCTCCAAGCCCACATGGCTCAGGAAGTACAGGCCCTAGTGGGGAACCCACTGTTGTTTGCTAAATAACACGCCAAGCTGCCATGTCTAAATACCTTGTATGCATAGATTACTGCTGCTCTTCGCCTTGCCGGGGGTTACAAAGAAGCAAGAAGAAAAGAAAGAACATGAAGGGGCGTGGTGGAATGAGGTGGTTGGAGAGATGCCTCACTGGCTGTGAGCACTGGTTGCTCTTGCACAGGACCTGGGTTCAGTGCCTGGCACCCACGGGATGGCTCACAACCCTCTTTATCACCAGTTCCAGGGGATCCATCGCCATCTGCTGGCCCCCATGGGTACTGCATGCGTGTAGCATCTAAATCCATATGCAGGAAAGACGCTTGTAAACTAAATAAATATCAAGACAGGACTTTTTTTTTTTTTTAAAGTTACCATGAAGATTCCAGTCATCAAGACACCGTGGCACTGGCGGAAGAGTCAAGAGCCCCGTGAAACAGAACAGAGAACCCAGAGACACTGTCGGCCTCTTTGAAAAGAAAATCGAGGCAATACAGGGGAGTAAAGGGAATCTTGTCAACGATAGCGGAAAGGGCGGTTGCACACTCATATGCGCAAAGAGGAATCTAGACACAGAACATACGTCTTTCAAAGACTAGACTCGAGGGTTGGCAAAGTGGATCCACCATGTCAAGGCGCTGGCTGCAAGAACCTGATGTCTGAGAATCTGCACCAAAATGTAAAGAGAATCCAGCTCCACAAAGCTGTCTGTTAACCTCCATGGCTGTGTGTGTGTGCACCCCGATGCAGTAGTGATAAATAAGAAAGGACCCGAGTTGGGTTCCCAGCACCCACACCAGGCAGCTCTCAACGGCTTGCAGTTCCAGCGCTGAGGGCACCTGTGCGCATGCGCGCATGCCTACACACACACACACACACACACACACACACACACACGCACGCACGCACGCACGCACGCACGCACGCACGCACTGCGCACACAATTAAAGATGTATTGTATTTGTATGAGGGGTCGCAGGAGACCCAGGTCAGTGCTGCCCAACTGGACACAGGACTCAGAGCTTCCTGTGACGTTTCTGCGGCTGTTCCTCTTAGTGATTGAGCCCGAACTGGGGCAGGGGGATGGGGACACTGTTTGCATGGAGGAATGGTGCTCAGGGAGGGGCAATCTAAAGGGATAAATGGACCCATTGAGCCTGCAAACTATAAACCACGAAATTCAGTCAGGTAAGGCACAGTGGCCATCTGGAGAGTGGGCATTCTGGGTCTCCTGGTGGAGAATGGGCAGGGCAATAATGAACTCCGAGATGAGTAAGCAGGTCTCTTTCTGGATGGCGGGGGCTTCCAGAGAAACCAAGACAGGTGTGAAACTTTAAACACCTTCTTGTCAGGCTGTCCTGGTGCCAGAGGTCCCTGCAGAGGAAGTGGGTCCTGACAGTCCTGTTCTTTGGGCTCCCTGTGACCCAGTGAGCTCACATCAGAAAGGAGGTATGCTGTTGGAGACTGGGCTGCCCCTTGAGGAACAGGCTTGAGCTCAGTTCCAAACCTACCACTCACAAGCTGGGTGACCTTGGATGGGCCAGTCCAACTGACCCCCATGTCACTCACTTTCCTGGGTCAAGAATAGAAATTATAAAGTCTAAACTGCACGCAGGTAATGCTGAGAATGTTAGCCAATGTTTCTTTGGGGCGTGTTCAGGTGTGTGTGCACATGTGTGCGCTTTTATGTGGTGGTCAGAGGTTCATGTCAGATCTTCCTCAATGGCTCTCACTAAAGCCAGAGTTCATTTCTTCTAGGCGGGCCACTGAACCCCAGGGATCATCTTGTCTTTGCCTCTCCTGGGCTGTGACTGCAGGCCTACAGGAGGGCTGAACATAGGAGAGAAAGCCATGAAGTCACATAAAGGTTGGGGCAGTGGTTCATGACCCCTTTGGGAGATCGAACGCCCTTTTCTCAGGGGTCACCTAAGACCATCAGAAAACACAGATATTTACATTATGACTCATAACTGTAGCAAATTTACAGTTATGAAGTAGTAAAGAAAATTACTTTATGGTTGGGGAGGGGAGTCACGTCTTGAGGAACTATATTAAAAGGTGGCAGCCTTAGGAAGGTTGGGAACCTTTGGGCTGGAGAGTTTTAGCCTTGCCAGACACCACAGAAGCTTGAAGATGCGGAGCCTGACCTACCTTCTGAGCCCCGTGAAGGAGAACAGTTCTGCTTGATTCCCTCACGGAAGCTGCAGCTCATCCGTGCTCGACTTTGAACTTCTGGCCACCAGAATCATGAGAGAATGTCTGCTGTTTTAAGCCAATCAGGTTTTGGTAATTAGTTACGGCAGCCCAAGCAAGGACTCTGTAACTCAGCACACTGGCCCACACTCATATGCATTCCTTGCACACTCACACGTAGGAGTCTCACTGCTTCTGTGCAAACCAATCAGGCTGTTGTAAGCTTTGCCCAGAGATCAAGGGCCATCTGTAGTCCCCTATGGTTCTAGGGAGAGCATGAGGACTTAGGTAACTGGGACCTGATCTCCAAAGGTGCTGATGATCACAGCTGGAAAGGAAGACCAGACTCCAAGTCACAGGTTGTGAAGGCCACACCCCCATCCACTGAGGTCCAGAGTATCTTTCACAGGTAGGATAGGGCTGGGCTTGCTGTAGAAAAAGGAACCTGGATGGATGTGCTATCTTGTGAGATGTGGGTGAACGCCTATGTGAGGTAGGGGGTGGGGGGGTATACGTGAGAGTTCGTGACATCAGTGGGAGACACTTCCAGATGTGGAGATTGCCGGTGGGTACGTGTGAACAGACTGATGGCAGCGTGAAGATGTGGCTACACAAGGCGCACCGGTGTGTCCATGCACGCTGGCATCCACTGTGCGACCCCCATGGAGATGCACAGAGACATAATCAGTGAAACCATACCAAAGCAGCCCTACGAGAAGTCGCCACTGGGTTCTCCCACTCAGAGACCCCAATGGTGGGAGGGCTCGAGGGCACTCACAGGCCACGCTCCTCAATTTAGATCCCATCTAGCTCCTGACTGCGTTACTGAGCCTTAGTTTCATGACAGACAGACTGGTTACCTTTCGCGATGTTTGCTCTAGGGATGGGAGCTGAAAAGCTGGGAGCTGATCTGGGATAAGAACGTTGCCACTTCCATGCCCATTCCAAGCTGAGCAGGGTTCAGGGGTCAGTTCCAGGAGACACGACTTCCTCCTTTTGGAGGTACTTTGGTTACCCGTGAACCACACCGCACCGCAGACCTGCTCGGGGATGCCCGCTGTGTTCACAGCGGTGAACGGTGAGCGGTGCGTCTCCCTGAGGCGAGGGCGCACGCCCAGTGAAACTTTAAATACTTGAACTTGCCCGGGATGAGGGGCGTGACTGCCACGGACACGCCCTCCCCCGCCCAACACCGCATCCTTCCTACAGGAGAGCGGCCGGATGTGACACGTAACGGAGAGTTTTCGAGGAGACACCCTCGGGGGCGGGGGAGGGGGCGGCAACGCGGGGCAGGCAGGGACGAGCGGCGAATGCCCAACCCGAGCTCACCCGCACAGCCGGCGCCGAGGTCTTGTCTCCGAATCCATAACCGTCCAGTCTTGCACGCTGCGTCGGGAGGCTCCGCAAGGAAGTTTCTAATAGGAGACAGGGCAGCGTTTAAATAAAGGCTCTGAGTCCCGCACTGTCTGCGTCCTGTGACCGTCCCATCTCACCCCGCGGTAAATCGGGGGCCGCTCGTCCGTACCCTGTGCCGGGGACACCACCTCGCCCGGGAAGTGTTTTCACTCGGGTCTGCGAACAAGTCTTCGTTATTCTCTGCAGTTAGGAATTTTCAGCGGCCCCTTGGCTGCCGACGCCACGCCCTCGGCGGTGACGTACACGGAAGTACCGCTATGGAAGCTGGTGTGGCCGCTTCACCATGGCGACGGCCGCCCCGCGGCGCTTCTGTCGCTGCGCCTGCTTCTGCTCCCAGAACCTGTACGTAGCGCGCTATGGGCTGCACCTGCGCTTCCGGGACGAGCAGCAGCTGCGCCGTGACTACGGCCCGGTGAGGGAATGGGGTGGGGTAGAGTGGGTGAGTTGGGGCGGCATCAAGTGCAGGAGGGGCCCGGACATCAGGGATGGTGCTAACCGCGCGTGGACACTGGGCCTGCCGCTGCCGAATGGCAGCTCCCTAAGTAAGCTGAGAACACGCGCGTGGAGCACACTGGACAGAAGTTGTCACAGATCTCTCGATGATCCCGTCACTCTCGTCTCCGTGACAGCGGTGGGAGGCGCTGAGGCTCGCAGATGTTTAATTCACTGGCCTAGGGTCACGCAGTCCTTTGCGCTAACTGGTCTTTCCGCTCGTAGCTTCTGCGCAGCCGTGGTTGTGTCACCTCCAAGGACTTCCAGCAACTCTTGCAGGAGGTAATGTACCCTACCAAGCCTTCTGAAAGACTTCTTATCCATCTTTTTCCTGTTCCTGCTTCCACTCACTCCCATTCCTAGATCCTGGTCCAGGAGGGAGATCGAGAAAGACTAAATTGCCTACAGCATCCCTTTCTCAACAGCTGAGTTAGATAGTCGGGACCATCACCCCTATTTCAGCTGTTAGGTCACCTTGACAGCTGCACTGGACCTTGGCAGAAGTATAGGGAGACTTGCCCTCCAGCCTAGGCTCCACTTTGGTCTTCTGGGCCTCAGTGTCTTCACGTGTACAATGGCGTTGGAGGTGGGAGACCCTGGTTTGTAACTGCCTTTGCCCGTCCAGCTTGAGCAGGAGGTCGGGCGCCGCCGCAGGCTGGGACAGGAATCAGCTGCCCGGAAAGCTCTCATTGCCTGCTCCTACCACCCAGCGAGGCCTGAGGTCTACAGCTCACTGCAGGTACCAGGCCGGCCTGGGAGCTTGGGGGCTGGCTGAGGAGGAGGCTGCTCTGGTGAGGGCTAACTTTGCACAGCTGCCCTGTGTTCTGTTCCCAGGATGCTGCTCTGGCCCCCGAATTCCTGGCTGCAGCTGAATACAGTGCGTCCCCAGGCGCAGATCTTGATGGCCTCCTCCAGCGCCTGGAGACAGTGTCTGGTAAGGCCCCAGCACTAGCTGGCGCCGGGTGGGGGTGGGGGGAGCCTGAGACACTTGGATATGGGAGGCTGGGTGGGTTTTTTTTTTGTTTGTTTTTTGTTTTTGGTAGTGTAGGGGTTCCAGACAGGGTTTCTCTGTGTAGCCTTGTCTGCCCTGGAACTCACTCTGTAAACCAGGCTTTCCTTGAACTCACAGAGACCCTCCAGTCTCTGCCTCCCAAATGCTGGGATTAAAGGCATCCAGCAGCAAAGCCAGGCAAGGCTGGGTGCTCCACCTCTTCTCTCTGGTCTAAAAATAGGAGGAACCGGTGGGACCAGTCTACCTGGAGTATTGTGTCTCATTTATTCATTAATCCACCCATCCCCTCATTCATTGACCATCTAGCTAGGATCAGAGCAGCAAGTCACTGTCCCCATTGTACAGAGGAAACAGGCTTGAGGCAGTAAGATGACAGGCTGGTTCCTGAGGGCACTGAATCCCAGCTCCAGGTTCACTATCTGCCCCTCCTTCTTCAGAGGAGAAGCGCATTTATCGGGTGCCAGTGTTCTCTGCCAAGTTCTGCCAGACCCTGCTGGAGGAGCTGGAGCATTTCGAGCAGTCAGACATGCCCAAGGGAAGGCCCAACACCATGAACAACCATGGGGTGGGTGAGGCCTTGCTTGTGACTCTAGGGAGTGGGGCAGCTCCGGTGGGAGGCTCCTCTGAGGTGCCACAGGCAGGCTAGCTGCCCAACTCTGAACCCAAACTCTCGTGAAAGCAGACAGCCTTTGCCCTTAGCGATGTCTTTGGCAAAGATGTGGGGATGCAGAGTGACGCTCCTGGGAATCCTTCCTAGGTACTGATGTACGAGCTAGGCCTAGACGACCCGCTGGTGACACCGCTTCGGGAACGCTTCCTGCTGCCTCTGATGGCCTTGCTGTACCCAGACTACGGTGGGGGCCACCTTGACAGCCACCGTGCCTTTGTGGTCAAGTATGCACTGGGCCAGGACCTGGAGCTGGGCTGTCACTACGATAATGCCGAGCTCACCCTCAATGTGGCTCTGGGCAAGGACTTCACAGGGGGTGCCCTATACTTTGGGGGCCTCTTCCAGGTGAGTGAGACCCACCAGGTGGGGCCCAGGCGGGTGTGAATGCCTCAGCCTGAACCACACCATCTGCAGGCACCTGCACCCCTGAAGGAGACCCTGGAAGTGGACCATGTGGTAGGCCATGGTATCCTGCACCGAGGTGGCCAGCTGCATGGGGCTCGGCCCCTGAGGACGGGAGAGCGTTGGAACCTTGTCGTGTGGCTCCGGGCATCTGCTGTTCGAAATCGCTTTTGTCCCATGTGCTGCCAGAAGCCAGACCTAGTGGACGACGAGGGTTTCGGTGACGGCTTCACCCGGGAGGAGCCTGCCACAGTAGATGTATGTGTGTTGACTTGAGCTTGGTCCCCCGGGGAGGAGTTGGTTCTGTGGCAGCAGAAACTTTGCCATCTTTGGCAGGGAGGGCAGAAATAAGCTCTGCAGCCATGACACTCCTTGGGTCAAAAGGAGACGCAGACTTCTGGGTCATTCTTTGGACAGATGATCTGTGGTAAGGCGGGCTGCTGAAGACAAGCCTTGTTTGAGATGAAGGACTGAGGGTCGAGCAGGCCCAGGAAGAGAAGAAGCCAGGAAAAGACATGGTTTTCATTTAATGATGTCTGGCCTCAACCTGACCCCTGGGGAGCTGACTGACTGAGGAGGGAAGGTTGCTTCATTCAGTGGCTCAGAGTTGGGGCTGGGAGCAAGGGAGGGAGGGGTCTCACCAGACATCTACCTCAGAGAGGGTGGTTCCAGGGACTTAAGTGAAGTTCACTGCTCTGACTATCAGCAGTGCTGGAGAGTGGAGGATGCGGGGCAGGGTCCAGACTTTCTGGGTTCACATCTGTGTTCTGGCATGTCCAGCTGTGCGACTCTGGCCTCGCTAGAGCCCTGGTTGTTGTGACAGTCCAACAAGTTGACGTTTATAAAGCACTTTATAACACCCCTCTGTTTGTTATTATTTAAGAGGGTGCAATTGGTGGTTCTGAGATTGGATGAGGGGTGCTGTTCGCACTCTTCGGGTCACATATTTGTAATCCTGGGGACTTCTGTCATAAGTCTCCAATTTCAGCTTCTCTGGGGAAATGGCAAGATACAGTAATACCAGCCTCCATTCTGACTGCAAAAAGAAGATGCAAGAGTGTCTCGGCAGCACACCTGACAAGGCGGTTACTCACTGCTCAATTCGTTGTCGCGATCCAACAGTGGGTCCTGGTGGGCAACTGTGTTTGCGACCTCTAGTACTGAGTGATGTGGGAAACACCAGACATCTTAGTTCGGCAGAGCTCCAGTCTGGTGGAGTGGATAGACTGGAAGACTAGGAGGGTGGCTTGAGAGAGAGAGAGAGAGCGAGAGAGAGAGAGAGAGAGAGAGAGAGAGAGAGAGAGGAAGAAGAAGAAGAAGAGAAGAGAGTGCCCACAGGCTCACAGGTGGCGTTGGGCCACGACTGTCACCTATCTACGTGGAGGCGCGGGGATCCCCTCTCATTCTTGTTAGAGGTGGGCTCCCTAGAGGCGGAACCCAAAGTTCCGGAACTAAAGATATAGACTCAAAGTATACCCGGATGATCTTCCTGGACGGTCCCAGACCGGAAGAGCCGTTTCATCGCAGAAAGGCATGCTGTGGGCTAATGGTTGATGTGGGAACCCGGCAGTCTCGAGACTCATCTCGGTGGAGCCAGGCAGCCCTATTGCAGTTGAGGAAAGCTGCAGAGCTCCCTCCACGTAGCCCAAAGTCCAGTGCGCAGGCGTGTGGGCGGGGCAGGCCCTTAAAGGGACCCCGGTGCGGAGTCGAAGCCCGGGGCTCTCTCCGGCAGGAATGGGTGCTAGGCGCCCCGAGGATCAGGCCTCGTTGGCGCTGAGTTTGGTTTCACCTCTGCGGACGTGTTCAAGAAGAGTCGCAGGTTAAGCGCTTTTCTTCCGGTCTCTAGCCCGCCTCGCTATGGCTCACGTTGGCTCTCGCAAGCGCTCGAGAAGTCGCAGTCGGTCCCGTGGTCGGCGAGGGTCAGAAAAGCGAAGTAAGAAGAGTAGTAAGGACGCCTCGAGGAACCGTTCGGCTTCCAAATCCCAAGGTCACAAGGCCAGCACCTCTGGTGCTGAGGGTGAGGACCACGGGACAGGGAAAAGGGGCGTGTGGCGTCTGCATTGCGGGAGGCTTGCATCTGCCAGGTCCCTCCTCCCCCGCCCCCCCGGGGAGCTAGAGATTGCAGATCGAACCTGGACTAAGGCCCTAGGGTGTAAAGGAGGTTCTGTTGAGTGGAGGGTATGCCTTACTCATTCTTTTAAGCACTGGGTCTTTAAGGTCGAGCCTGGTCACCCTGCCAGGCACATAGTGACTTCTAGAACCCCAAAGAAGGTTCCAAATGTTCTCTTGGAGAGCCTATTGGGAGGGTCCTACCTTGTATAGGCCTGAGCTTGCTTCAGGCTTGAGCAGGGGACAAAGGCCTTACCTTCTCCCTGCATCACAGAGAGAAGCAAGCACAAGGCCCGGAGGACATCGAGATCCAGTTCTTCCTCCTCCTCCTCTTCCAGTTCTTCTAGCTCCGCCACGTCCTCATCCTCCAGTGATGGCCGGAAGAAGCGAGCCAAGCACAAGGAAAAGAAGAAGAGGAAGAAGAAGAAGAAACGGAAGAAGAAGTTGAAGAGGAAAGGCAAGGAGAAGGCAGTGATGGCGCACCAGGTTGAGGCTCTTCCTGGCCCCTCACTGGATCAGTGGCACAGATCAGCTGGGGAGGACAGTGATGGCCCAGGTACCATTCGGGCCAGCATGTGGTGGGGAGAGGGTCCTCTCCCCAGGTCTGACACCCCCTCCATATTCCCTTCCAGTCCTGACAGATGAGCAGAAGTCTCGTATCCAGGCTATGAAGCCCATGACGAAGGAGGAATGGAACGCTCGACAGAGTGTTATCCGAAAGGTGGTGGACCCAGAGACGGGACGCACAAGGTGTGGTACAGAAAGCACAGCCAGCTAGCCCCGCCCTCGGTTCAGTGTTGGCCCAGGATGTGCTCTGATGGGGAGCTGTCACCATTTCTATAACAAAGTGTGGGGGAAATGGTCACTTGTGATGTGACATCTCAGCTGTTACCCCCTGTGCCTCTTGAAGAGTTACAGGACTAGAAGGGCCTTGATGCTTTCCCAGTGGTGGTTGTTGGCTGGTCTGGGTTAATGGTACAGGCTAACAAGGGAGAGCCTACCTGGACCGTCTCCAATCTGTCCCAAGAGTGGTAATTGAGTGGGAGGAGCACCCAGGCACCCCTTCTCAAGTTGGGCTTGAGCCCTGGGATTCCTCTCTTTGGGCGGTTCTGCTTCTGTTACTGTGTATGATGTGAGAGCCCCAGACTCCTCCTTGCTAAGCTGATAACCTCCTACCCTCAGGCTCATCAAGGGAGACGGTGAGGTTTTAGAGGAAATCGTGACCAAAGAACGACACAGAGAGATCAACAAGGTTGGTGGCACCACTCTGCCCGCGCTCTGCCCACATGGTGTCTACACATAGTTTCTCATGCTTCCAACCTATTTGTTTCCTCAGCAAGCCACCCGAGGGGATGGCCTGGCCTTCCAGATGCGAGCGGGCCTGCTTCCCTGAGCGCCCTGCCATCCCAGGTGTGTGAACCACTGTTAGTGGCTTGGAGACTGATGAGTCCAGGTGCCTTTTCTACTGTGCCTTTCCTACAGCCCAGCATCCTCTTGGGTGCAGTGGGTGGCCCGAGCACCGAATTTGGACAGCAGAGTGTCCCTATTAAATGATGTTGGTCACAGAGTTCCTGTCCTGTTGCATTTTGTGCTGAGGAGTGGAACTGTTGCCACCTGACTTCTGCAGAGAGATGTGCTCATCCCTGAGGAAAGCTGGCTTGTCCCCTGGTGTCCCCATTGATTCCACCTGGCCCAGCCCTGACCCTACCCTGGCTGAGCCCAGTTCAGCCTCGATCCTTAGGCTCAGCTCATCAGGCCGTTGCCTGTGTCCTGTCATGTACATCATGACAGACAGGAGCCTGGTCAGGTAGGAGTCCTAGCTCTGGCTTATTGGCTGTGTCCCCTGGGGAGGAGAGCCCAGACCACCGACCTCACTGGGTCCGTGTGTGGGAAGGGAAGCCAGGCTCATGTCGCAGTGGTTAGCATGTGTCACTTGCTGCAGTTGTGTCCTTACGTACATACTGCTAGGACCATGATGCTCATCCCCCCAGTCCCTACACACACACACACACACACACACACACACACACACACACACACACACACACACCAGGAGACCCATGGGCGCCGCCACAGTAACGAGACCAGAAGGAAGCCTCCTGCTTCTTTAATTGGTGTAACAGACTGTGACATGGTATACAGAGAGCACACTCAGGCCAGACGATGCAGGGACAGCATGGGGTGGGGTTAGGACACAATTTACACAGTGGTCCAGAGAAACAGATGTACAAGGACAGATGGGAGGGGTCTGAGATGTGACGGTGAAACAGGGTAGGGTGGTGGGTAGCTCACACAGAGCCGGGAAAGGGATGGGGGAGCTTTGCTGAATCCTTCTTTAGAAATCAAAGAGAAGGCAGGTGGTTGGTGATGGGTGGCATCGAGGCTCAGTCCTGGGGACTGGGGACGGGGAGGGACTGACTAAGGCTTCTATTCTAACAGGCCTGGGGTGGGTGGCAGTCAGCAAGGTCTGCCTCACCCTTTGGTTACGAATGGCCAGGCCTGAGCCCTGCAGCTCAGCACCTGACACTGTAAACATTTTTTTGGTATTTTTAAAGGACTTTGACCTTCCTCTCTTACTTTCTGTAAAAGTGGGGCTTCCTCAAGAGAATGAGCCAAAGGAAATCTTAAGGGAGGCAAAAAGCAGACTCGAGTGAGATTCTGGAGGGAGGCTGCCCGTCTCACCATCTATGGCTGAGGGCCCTGGGAGAGCCCAGGGGACTATTGCTGTTGTCCTTGGCATGGCTGGCGGCTGGGCAGGCATGGGCATTCAGAGCCACAGAGGGCTGCCCAGGGGAGAGACCAAGCCCACTGACCCCAGGCCTTCCCTGCCTTTATTGCAGGTAGTCTGAGGCTTCCAAGTGCTTCTCCCAATGGCTGGTCACCTAGGCTGAGGCAAGACGGGTGTGGCTGAGGGAGGAGGCCCTGGCCCCTGGGCCCCCAGTGGGGCAGTGATTGTCAGGCCAGCAGCTTCCTGTGGGGGTGGGGAGTGGGGGGGGCAGATATTGCACTTGTACTGTGACAGTTCATGGAATCTTGGTCCATAAAACAACCACTGCTTTATACAGAGCGCTGGAGACGACACAGCTACACCTTATGAGAAGACCCTGAAGGTTTCACCCCTCCAGACATTTTTTTTTCCCTCTGCACAAAATAAATAGCTTTCTTCCTGTGTAGACCCGCCATGGCGGGAGTCCCCCAACCCTGTGCTGTACATATCTACACAGCAAGGTCAGTGTCTCCTATACACCTGCTGGGCCCAGCCACGTGGCCCTGTGTCTGAGTCCAGCCTGGCAGCTACTCAGGCACAGGGCCCCATCGCTGGACAGTGGGCCTGAGCTATGTGGGCTTAGCCAACGCAGGGAAGGTGCAGGAGAATTGTGGTCAGTGCTGCGTGGAAGGCAGGGCTCAGACCCAGTGTGTAGGAGGCCTGTCCTTGTTTGGGGAGATCTAAGATGGCTGTATGCCCTTAAGCTGACAAGTGAGCCCGCAGCTTGGAGTCAACGTTAAACGGAATGGCATTAAAAGACCTAAGAGCCCCGCCCACCCCAGAGTAGGAAGTCAGTGGAATTGTGGGTCAGGTGAGGTGAGAAGCCCACACCTTGCCAAGCGGGCCAGGTGCAGGGCCCACAGGCCAGACTGAGTGGGACCCTGTCACAGTGCTGGGTGTTCCTAATGTAGCAGGCTGCGCTGACACTGAGTTAAGAAAAGGAAGCAGCCGAGGATTGCCTGTTAAAAAAACCTTATAGAAACCAGATGGAGAAGTAGAAAGGCGTAGAAACGCGGTGGGCAGCAGCCATGGCACGGGGCCCCAGCCCATGGCAGGCGAGGAGTGGAGGTGGAGGCCAGACTTCTCCAGGTCCAGCCGCCCAAGGTGGGGTACCAAGAGCCAGCTGTGCACTTTGCTAGCCTCACACCTCTGCTGTGCTCAGGGCCCGGAGTGACATCAGTTCTGGGACTGCACTGAGCTCGAGTGGGGCAGGTGGACGGGTGGGTAGCAGTCTGGGACTGCCATTGGGCTGCCGTGGTGTCGACAGGCCGGGCAGGCAGCAGAACTTAAGATATGGCCTTTCTCCCCTGCTTGCGTGAAGATTTCCCACACTGGAATATTCTGTGTGGTGACAGGCCCTGGATCAGCAGAGACTGGATTTTCATGCATGTCAACATGTCAGGAGCCAGGAGATGATAACGGGTCTCCACTCTCAAAAACCAGTGCAAAACCAGTGAGGTTAGACAGTTGAGAACTGGAGTCAACAAGAAGCAGGCTGGACCCCATTGGGAAGGGGCGCCAGCGGACAGGGAGGTGGCAGGCAAGGCGGAGACCTGTGCCTGGCACCAGGAGGCTGAGAGATCAACACAGAGCAAGATGTCCAGGAATGCCTCCCAGGCTGGGCTAAGCGGCCAATCCTGGCTCCTCTTCCACCATGGGCTGGACATCCTGCCAGTTTCCAGGACCAGCTGGGCTCCTCAGAGCCTAGGGCATCAGGCGAGGCTGGGAGGACTGTGTTGGCATGGCCCTGTCTTCCAAGGAGCCCTGGGTCAAGCTCTCAGGTCATGTCTGTGCTTGTCCCCAGACAGCTACGTGTGCCCAGGCCAGGCCTCCCAGGAGGGCCGGTGCCCTGGCCTAGCACCATGGAGACCACAGCGCCTCCTGAGGGTGTCCTACTTGGGTCCAGTGGCTGCCCCTGGTTCAAGCCGGCCCGTCATGGCGCGGCCCCAGCAGCTGGCCGCCACACTCATGCTGCGCTGGCCCCGCTGCTCGCTGTCCATCTGGGTCTGTGTCCGATCATGCCGATGGCTAGGCCCACCAGGCTGAGCCGAGATGGTGCGGAGCAGGTGATTCCGGGACCGGAGGAAGTCACCCTGGCCGGGTAGGCCGAAGCTTCCCTTGCGCAAGGCCATGCGTGTGGTCGTGTTCCGGGCTGGACGAGCCCGGTGATTGTACTTGAGCTGGGCCAGGTGGGCCGCGTAGCCATCTGTGATGAACTGCAGAGGAGTGACAGGGGCAGGCTGTTAAGTGTCTGGGGGTTCCCCGAGGAATGTGTACCCTTCAGTGAACCCCATTACCTGGCACTGCTGCTGCAGCTTCTTGGTGGGGCGGCCCACAATGTAGATGTGCATGGGAGACAGGCTGATGGAGTTGTAGACCGCCACATCCTTGGTGGAGCCGTAGGCCGCATGTGCACGCAGGTGCAGCTGTGGAGGAGATGACCGACCGTGGGCACAGGCCGGGTCTTCCAGCCCTCCCCTCCCTCCCCAGTCTTCCCAAGCCCTACCTCAGAGATGAGCAGCTTCAGAAAGTTAGCCTTGTGACGCAGTGGGTCGTGCACCAGGCCGTCACAGAAGGACACCACACCGTGCGGGAAGTTGTGCTGAGCGAGCCACGCCACCACCCGCTGCTTCTGCATGTCGGGCCGGCCGGTCACGTAGATGATGAGGTAGCCCAGGTCCTGCCAGTGTCTGTGGAGACAAGGGGCAGGCGTGGTGTCCCGTGGCTGCCCTCCTCCTCCTCGAGCCTCCCTCCTTCCTGCCCAGTCAGAGCTCATTTGAGCCACTGAGAAGTCCATCTTCAGCTGAGCCTTGTGGTACCCAGTTTCCCGGAGTATAATCCCAGATACTCGTGAGGCTGAGGCAGGAGGATGGCAAGTTCAAGGCAGCCTGGGCAACTTGGTGAGATCCTGTCTCAAAAAGTGGAGTGCACACTACATGGCCTTGTACAAGTGAGGCCCTGGGTCCAACTCCTGGCACTACACACTGGCCAGCAGCAGTGAGGGCAAATGGCAGTGTGCAAGCCCTGCTGGCACTGAGCTTGCGGGGACTATCATAGGTACCCTCAAAGGAGGCATCCTTGGCACTGGCCTCAGGCTTGCCAACAGCTTGCTCGAGGGCATACCAGTCGGTGGTGGCACTGGGTCCTCAAGGCTGTGCTGAGAGTTATCCTCCTCCACTTGGCCTGCAGCCCACCCAGCTTCTGACAGCCACACTCACCGCACCACGTCCACAGCCCCGGCGCGCACCTTGGGGTCGCTGCCCATGATGGACACACTGGCGGCAAAGGAGCCATCGATACTGAAGACCACAAACTCTGTGCCCTTGGGGAGCACAGTGATGTAGCTGTCGGCAAACGTGTGGTCTCCCCTGGTCGTCAGGGATAGCTCGTCAGAACCAGCCAGAGCATTCACCCACTCCCTCCCTCCCTCCCTTCCCCTGCCCCCTCCTATACCCAGGAGGCTGGCCCTGCTCTGCCTGCCCCACCAGAGGCGCGTACCTGACCACCATCTTGATAGGGTAGACGCCCACCCCCAGGCGGTGTGTTTCAGGGATGGTGTAGGAGACACGCCCACTGCTGTTGGTCACGAGAGTGTCTAGGTACAGCCACTCACCTGAGGGCGGCTGTGTCATGATGTGCACATCCACCTGAAGCCCAGGTAAGCTGGTTACAAACTGGCCATGGTCTGCCCTCTGACCCCACTCCCTGGCCGGGGGAATGGAGTTATACCTCAGGTGGCCACATCCTCACCTTTTCCCCTGTCAGGGTGACCATGTCCAAGGGCCCGTACATGAACCGGCCTGTCACAACCTGCGGGCCATCCTCATTGGCGACTGCATCATTGATCCGGTGGTTGGCTGCCACGTTCTGGGGGAGGGGAGGGCAGGGTGAGGGGAAGAGAGGGGTGGGGTCTCCTGGGCTCACCTAATACCTCTGTGAGTAGGTCTGGGGGTTGAGCCCATGCTGTGGTCCAGCAGCCTCGCTGTCCTTTCTTCCCTCCCAGCTCCCGCCTCACTCCTCACTGATCAGGTGAGACAGCTCACAGTAGTGTGACACAGCTTCTGTCTGCACAGACTGGACAGGATGGTGACCGGGCCTGAGCTCCCAGAGGACCCTCACCCGCAGCTTCACATGTGTCCTCCTGCGCTGCCACTTCTCCCTGGGCTGCGAAGGCGTGAACACGGACACCTCCTTGCCGTCCAGCTCTAGGATGCTGGAGCTGTCATGCCGCATGACCTGGGGACAGAGGCAGGCCGTGGGGGCAGGCTCAAACCTGGGTGGCTGCTCTAGAAAAGGTCCAGCTGTCCCCAGAGCTGGCAATGGGCACCTGGCAGGGTCTGTAGGACTATCAAACCCTCTAACCTTGCCTACCGCTCCTAACCAGCCAGCTCCCACCTTTGCTGGGAATATGTACTCTGTCCTACTCCCTGGGCGACAGGCGCCTGGCCTGATGGCACAGGGAGGAGCCCTTACACTCTCTCAGGGCCTCCTGTGAGGCCCAGTTATATCTGGGCAGTAGGTACCTGTCTCAGCAGAAAGGAGACCACATCGGTTGACTCCCAGTAGCTGGCGTGGAAGAGGTGGGGCAGGGCCACTGTGGGGAAGGCTGTGAGGGCGTCGGGGCAGTACAGGGCGTAGTCAATCCGCTTCTGGCCCCACCACTTGGCGGCAACTGCCAGGAGGAAGGGTTATGATTGCCCTGCTGGGCTCTCGGACAGAGACCCTAGTGGGTCACTTGGCACTCAGGCCTGTCTGTCTCAGACTAGCCCTCCCGCCAGGTGCAGTCAAAGCAGGTTTTCTCCCAGGCTGGTTACAGGCAAGCAGGTAAGTGTAGAAGATGCCCACGGGCAGCCTTGCTGCAGGGAATACAAAGGCCCGTGGCAGTGCTGGGGGCGTGAGGATTTCTGGAGCAGGATGAGCTATCACAGTGCAGATGGTGATCAAGAAGAGCTCCTACCCTAGACCCCGCCCAGGCCCTCTCTATATTCTTCCTGTTCCCAAGGCTCAGACATGTAAAAGAAGGCACAGAGACTCCATGGTTTGACAATTCTAGAACCTCCAGATAAGGCCTGCTGCCCTTGAGGTGGAAGGGTGAGTAGTGAGGCCTAGGGCCTTCAAGATAGAGGGACCTGAGTGTCCTCTCTCAAGGGAGACAGAGCACAGGACATGCCATGCCTGGTGGCTGCACATAGGTGCTTATCTGGTGCCAGCTTCGTGGGGCTTAGCTCCCCCGAGCTCTGCCCATGGCCTGTGAGACAGCACCCCCAGGTAGCTCTAGTCCTGCTCTCTTCTCCCTCGAGGCATCCTCCCCACCCAAGGCTGTGCTCTCGGAGCCTCAGCAGGAGTCGGCAGGCAGGGCCTTGCAGTGAGCCAGTGAAACATGCTTTGGCAACAGTGACTGATCTCCAGTTAGAGGGCGGAGTGCTGTGGACGGGGTACCTTCTCCGATGTCCAAGTCAGGGAGGCAGGGGGCCCTCTCCAGGTTGGGGCTCACCTGCCTTGCCCTGGCACGGGGACCCTGGGTGGTAGGGGATGGGGGGGGCAGGGCGAGCAAGGATAGGCGCCTGATGCTGGGGGTGTGGTTGAGCGACGAGGGACCCTCTGAAGAGCAAGAACAAGGGGAATGGTTCAGACACAGACACACACGCGCACGCACACGCGCACACACACCCAGGGCTCCTACATTGGTAGCAGACCAAGGCTGATATTAGGGTAGAGCCAGGACCGTCAAGGGAAGCCCCTTAAGAAAGCTTGAGTCTTAGAAACCTCTACAGCAGTCCCAGCCTTGGCCCAGCTGCTCACCACAGCCTCGTCTCTGCCCTCCCAGTGAGGTCAGCACAGGCTGGCACTGCTGATCAGCCGCCAGAATGGAAGTCCCTTGGCCCTGTCCGGGCGAGGACCCACTTCCTGCCAGAAAGACACCACTACCACCCTCTTCCCAGGGTCCCCAGCTGAAATATCTGTGGCAGAAGCACAGGGAACAGCACTCACTCTGGGCAATGTTGGATGCTGTGTAGCTCTCAGCCATCCCTGACACCTGACTGGCAATGCTGATCTCACTGGCTCTGCGGAAGCCGCGGCTAGCAGGGGCTGTGCCGGGTGACGAGGGGGCTGCATGCTCTTGGAAGACTGTGTTGTGGGTCTGGAGCACATCCGCTGTGGAGGGGGAAGGGACAAAGGTCCAGGTAAGAGAAGGCCTGACCTTAGGTCTCCCAGCAACGGGAGAGGCCAGCTTGCTGGGGCCAGCGTGCACCAGGGTGCAGCTGGTTTAGGGCCTTGAGAGCGAAGGGCCTGAGCTGAGGCAGGGAGGGAAAGGCTGGGCAGAGAAGGGTGGACAGACAGACACAGACATGGGGTAGGGAGGCAAGGCATGGGGTCCTGCCCTCCTTGGCCACTTCTTCCCCATATTTGGAACCATCCTGGACCAGCCCACAGAATATTAGCATGATCTTGGGCAGGGCCTTGGGCAGCTTTCCAGAGATGCTAAGCATAGGCTGAGGACTGAGAAGGCCGACCCCAGTGGCCCTCACACATAGGTTCTACCCAGCCCCTGATGGCATCTGAGGACAAAGGCAGGTGCTGAGGGCTCCAGGATGCAGGCAGGACAGAACAGGGGTTAGCTGGAGGAACCAGTCTGCATGACATATCAGGCCTGCACATCTTCAGGGAGGTAAAGAGTGAGACCCAGGGGCCCCAGCTCCTTGCTAACACCAAGGTATTTTCCTAGCTGTGGGGTGAGAGGTGACTGCTTGAGACCTCACCCTAGGTCTGCTCCCTACAGCTTTGGGAAGGTCAAAGAGCAGCCTTGGAAAGTCACATGCTGTCTAACAGTGGGACAGCCTCTGTCAGTCACTGGGAAGCTGTGACCACTTTGTATTAGGGTTGCTTCAGCTTCTGGATCATCATGTACAGAAAGGGGTCACCAAGACTAACTTCCCATGGCCCAAGTCCCACAGACTGAGTGGCCAGGGAGGGCATGAGGGGGGTAGAGGACCAAAGGGGGGCAGCCAAGCAGACATCAGTCACTAGGAGTGGGGGGTACACACACTCAGAACAGCCCAGGCTCTGGCGGGGCCCATCCTGCCAGGTGAGCGCGGGAACAGGGATACTGGTCTCCAGGAAGCTGTCCCCGTGGGGGAGAGGGCCCAGGGGGCCGCCCTCCAGGACCAGCTCTGGGTTTCTCTGCACGGTCTCGACTGGAGGCAGACGGGAAGAGAGCAGAGGAGAACAGACACTCAAGTGGGCCATCTGCACATGTGCTGACACAAACAAGGCTCCTTGAGGACCAGGACACGACAACAAGATGCCAGGATACAGGCTGCAGCAAGGGGATGGGCCATTCTGAGGGCAGTCCCTCCCATACTCCCAGCCATCTCTGGGCAGCTGCCTACCACCATGGGCCCAGACTACAAGGTTCCCAGCTTGCAGAAGGGCCTTCACTCCTTCCCAGTTGGGTTGGGGGCCTTAGGCAGTAGGGGAGGGAGTATGGCCCTGGCAGTTGCTGGGAAGCCCTCAGGAGGCTCTGACACTCCTGTCCCACAGGGACGGGGAGCATGGCTACATCTGCACCTCACTGTTTACTTGCAGATGTTCACTGGGGACAGGTGTCTGCCTCTGCTTCCCTTTGAGAAGACCCACTGTATGTTGGGGGGGGGCGTATAGCATAGATAGCAGTTAGTCCCGACTTGAAAAACCAACCCCCCACCTTCCTGAAAGCCTCACCCAGCAGTGTGGAGCAGCCATCCCCCAGAGGGTAGCGCTGGTATCGAGGGATGTTGAAGGGTGGCAGGGCGTGGAAACGCCGCTCCAGCAGCGGTTCCAGGCGGGAGGCTGAAGGGTCCGCAGGGTGGAAGAGGTTGTACACTTGCTGACATGCTGGCCGCAGTTGGAAAACTGGGAGTGGAGGGGCACAAAGAGAGAAGACTTTGGGTAGTGGGCAGGGGGCCTGGGGCCCAGGCTGCCGTTGCCCTGTGTTTTTTATCAATTTGGGATCTGTGTGGATCGCTTCTCTTTATTAATAGATTTATTTTTTTGAGGCACGGTCTCACTCTGACCCTTGCTTGTCCTGAACTTGCACTCTTCCTGCCACAGCCTCCTGTGGGCAGTGATTACAAGTATGTGCCATCATGCCCAGTTCTAATCTTTCTTGTTTTTTAAGTTGGAAAGATGATAATCACACTGATAAGGACCACAGTTTGGCACTGAGGGCATGCATGTGTTGGACGCAGGGTAGAGGGCTCCTTCCAGCCCAGAATCCCACCTGCATCTTCAGCTAGGTATCATAGGTACACATAGGCTGACGTCACCCCAGCAGTGCTCGCCCATTCCTAGGTTGCATCCTAGCACTGTGAGTGTCCAGCAGGAGCCTTCCCTGGGAGGCAGGCACGTCCCTTCAACTCCACACCCACGCGAGCACACAGCAAGCTTTCTGAACTTGGCCTGGTTCATGATGGGATGTGTAATTCCACCTAATTCTTTCTTGCGGTGGCAGGGGGACACCACAGAATGTTCATTGCTTGTACATGAGAAGTGGTGAGACTTTTCTAAGCAAGGCAGATGGCCTCGTCCTGCAGGGGGACAGCTGCCCCCTGGGAGAAGGCTCAGTTGCGGAGTCCCCCTCACAGCAGAGCTGCCATTGCTACCTTGTAGACAAGAAGGGGCAGAGGCATTGGCGGGCCTTCATTTTAATCTGGTCCCAGAGCTTACCTGCTCTTGATTTGTCTGAGCCCCTCTAGGGCTGTGCTGGTTAATGCTGGCACAGATCAGGGGTTACCAGTATGCTAGGATACTGCCCTACCTCTCATTTCCAGGGACCATGAGACACTGTGGCCACATCTGTCCCTGTGGGTGGACCCCATACCAGAGACTGTGTCTGTTTTATCTGACCTCTGACCCTGCTGTGCACCCCCACTTCTTCAGGGGCCTTAGAGAGTTACAAAGCAGCAGGTTTCAGGGGATGAGTAGGTGACTGAGCTGGAGGAGGGGCAGGGAAGGACAGTGCCTTTGGTGGGTAGAGATGTGATCATGGCCTTGTGACGATCCACGAGGTCCCTGTGCAGTTCGTGTAGCCTCTCCTATCCCTGTAGGCCTCTCACCATCCAGGGAGGGGATGACTGTTTTCCTCAAGGCTAGGACTAGCCCCAGTGGGCACCCGAAGAGGAAGAGGTCGGCGATCTCGAAGTCAAACTTGCCCAGGGCCACGGCACTGTCCAGCATCGTGGAACTGCTTGAGCGGCGGGAGCTGGGCTCATTCCTCAGCACGCTGGCATGGAGGCTGCAGTAGGGGACGTGCAGGTCACCCAGGGTCAGCATCACAGGGGTCAGACTGGGTCTCATGGTCCCTTAGGGACTAAGCCCTGTACTGTCCTGAGAGCAGGGCTACCCAGCACCTACTAGGACAATCCTAGTGACAGCATATCACAGCCTCTCCAGGGGAGCCCACTGCCTTTGACACAGCTGTGATGGGATCATGCTGCCTGACTCCACCTCACACCCACCCTCAGGACAATGTGTTTCCAGTGGCTGAGGATAGCCCTTGTTGTATAGAGGACCACAGTACCCAGTAAACTGGAAGTCCTCCAGATAGGATTGTCCAGAACCCCACAAATGCACTTGGCATATGATTGTTGAAAGACTGCCCTGGTTCCCTCACACTGGGCCCTTTCTCCTCCTAGTGGTACACCAAGCCCTACCTGGATAGGAAGGCCTGGTGTTGCTGGATGGTGTCCAGCTCATAGGTGGATGAATCACTCCTTTTGCGGGGCAGCTGCCTTCTGGAGTCCTCGGTACCGTTGCTTCGGGGGATGTCAACGTTGCTGCGGCTCAGGTGCCGACTGCTCTCCAGGCTGGAGCCTCCACCACTGCCACCGCCACTACCACTGGAGCAGTGTGCTGCATTCACCAGGATGCCCGGGGACAGCAGGTCAGCGTCCTGGAATGGCCATGGAGGCTCACTGCCAGGTGGTCCCTGGCCTAGGCCCTTCTTCAGTGTTCTGTGAACCCCTCCCTCCTGACTCCAGGCCCTGCTGGCCACTGCCCAGCTGCAGGCTTCTCACCCAACTAGAGGGGAAAGTCTTGTCTCCCACTGCCCCTCAGACTACTGGCTAAGTCCTAGCAGCCTTCACTCCAGGACTGGCTTGGCACACAGTGATCTCTCCCAGGTGATGGCCATTCTATAGCAGGAAGACATCAGGGTCAGACAAAGGAGAACAGGGTGTGACCATCTCACCTCCTAGGACCAGAGCGGTGCCATGCAATGCAGACCCTAGTGTGTGAAGCCTCATGCTCTCCTGGACACACTGCAATGGTTCTCCAGACCCCAGGCTTCACACTGTCACCTGTGGTCACCCACACCAGCAACCTGTGTCCTTTCCACTTGTTTCCTGGGGACACTGAGGTACACTTTCGGCTCTTTTGAGCTGTTGCTGACCTGCTTTGGGTACTTTCTTTGACTTAGCCTGAGACCCAGGGCACGTGCTTTCTCTCCTAGCCCCCTCATCTCCTGCTCCAGAGGGGAACTCCTGTTGGGCCTCATGGGCTTTGGACATTGTTGAATGAGAAAATGGAGAGGGCAAGGACTGTGGTGTCCGAGTCGGCTCCTTGGGGCCTTGGCTGGGCACACTGCTTGTGGGTCACAGCATAGGCTGGCTGATGGCTTGGTGGCCTGCATCAGGAAAAGCAGCCAGTCTCCATGGTATATGAGAGACAGCAGGCCTCAGTGGAGGTTTGGGACCAAAGGATGCCCCACCCTCTGACCCTGTTCAGGTACCTGCATGCTGACCACACTGCCCCGGCGACTACTGCTTTGGCTCTCAGACACCGGCTGGCCACTGTAGCATAAGGCATCAAATGCCAGGATGCCCCCAACACAGTCTCCAATCAGGCAGACCTGAAGGCAAGAAGGCAGACGTTTGAGACTTCATCCTGCTTGCTGGGGTGCTAATTAGGAAAAGCAACCCCCTGCTCCCCATGACCTGGTCCTCTGGCCAGCCCACCCTGAAAGGTCTTTCTCTAACCCCTGACACCACTCACCTGTCCGTTGAAGGTCACACCTTCCTGGGACTTGATAAAGTCTCCATAGGCCAGGTTGGCCCGCTGAATCACTGTAGCAACTGCCTCCTGGTACTGGGGTGAGGAAGTGGCCAACAGGGGCAGGGCAGCCAGGGGGATGTGGTCCTGGCTGCTAGACAGACAGCCCTCATCATGGCCATAGGGACTGAGGCTGGGGGGAAGGGTCTGGGTCAGCAGAGGGCAGGTAAACTCAGCTTGACCCAAAAGCCCTCCCCTGATTTAGAAAGCAGGCCAAGCAGAGCTGCTGCCTGCCCCGAAGCACTCATGGAGACACTCCTAGGGAGGCCTAGGACAGGCTCAGAGTGCCAGTGTCACTGAGTAGATTCATTTCCCAAGGCAGGTCAACATCTCCATTCTACAGAATTGAACTGTGGACTCAGCTGGGGACTGTCGTCCTAGGATCTGAACTTATCTTGTCGGCATGGACTCTGCTGCCTTCAGACTGAGGGGATGGATGGTGGGAAAGAACATTCTGGATAAAGGACCTAACACTGGGGACCATGCAATGCTCAGGGCCAGAGGTGGGGACATATGTTGCTGCTTCTTCCTGTGGGGGCATGATGGGTGTTGGCAAGCACATGCCACTCACTTGGAGACGAGGGCGAAGGCATCGGCACAGACGGGTGGGCAGGGCACCAGGCGGATGGCTAGGTGGCCTAGGGCACTGGGGTAGTGCACCCGCATGACGGTGTCGAACACGTTGGTGATAGTATTGGTGTCACCCTGCTTGGAGCTGGGGTCCCCCGCTCCAGTGTCCAGGATGGTGCCTCCGTGCAGCACCAGCAGCAGCACGTGAATCTTGGAGGGTGCCTCGGCTAGTGGCTGGCTCACCTCATCCTGCATGGGCAGTGGTGGGTGTGAATTCCTTGCCAGGACCCAGGTGCCCTAGTTTTCTTTTTTCTTTTCTTTTTTTTTTTTTGTTTGTTGTTTTTTTTTTTTTGTTTTTTTTTTTCGAGACAGGGTTTCTCTGTGTAGCCCTGGCTGTCCTGGAACTCACTCTGTAGACCAGGCTGGCCTCGAACTCAGAAATCCGCCTGCCTCTGCCTCCCAAGTGCTGGGATTAAAGGCGTGCGCCACCACCGCCCGGACCCTAGTTTTCTTTTTTTTTTAAACTGTTAGGACTTGAACTTAGACGCTCACACACGTGGTGGGCCAGCATTTAACTCCTGAGCGATATTCCCAGCCTGAGAGACCTTGGTTTTGGTTATCTGGTTAAAGGGCCAGGGGTTCACTGCCTCAGCCCTTCCCTTCGACCCCTGCAAGGACTGGAAACTGGAGATGGAGGTGTCGTGGCCTGACCAGGATCACAGCAGACTCAAGGAAGGGTATCTTCTGGAGAAATCACCAGTTTCACTTTCTTCAGGGTCTCAGGCAGCAGCTTCTGTGTGAGCTACCGGGCCTGTGGATGTCTGCTAAGTGTGTGCTTCTAGGAATAGGTCTGAATTGACTCAGTCAGACAATGCTGGCCTGGGCCATAGGGGTCATTAGGAGTGGTCAGGGCTAGGGAAATCTTTCTCTGAGGTCCACCACCTCATCTTAGCCCAATGCCCTTACTTCTAAAATCGAAGGCCAAGGGAATCCTAGCACAGCAGGAAAAGGGAGATCAGGTCGTGAGCCTACCTTCCTACTGGCCTGTTATACTACTATGAAGCCAAAGTGAGACCCTAGAATGTATGCTGTGCACTGGGCTACAGAGCTCTTCCTCTCAGACAAGGCAGGAGGGTGGAGAGGCCCAGGCACTAGTCATATGGCTCATTAACACCAAGGGAGAATAGCGCCCAAAGCCCCTGCTAGTTCTCCTGGAAGCCCAGGCTGTGGCCCCTATTCCCAGAGGCCTTTCTTGAATGCTCACTGAGTTCCTAGTATGTGTGTGACAATGACCACTGGTTTGTATCTGTTGAGCCATGTCATGTCCAAGGGTGTGGGGATATGTGGGGAAGAGAAGTGATACCTGTCTTGGGCTTGCTTTCCTCCCAGGGCTGGGGTAGGAACAATCACACATGCAGGGACTACCCACCACAGGGTGGCCTGGGTACAGGGAATGGCATCCATTCCCATTATGATCAAGTATAGGGGCTTCTCCAATACAGTGGGCACATGGTTATGGAAAACTGTCTATAAAAGCAGCCTCCCAGCTCCTGGACACGGTGGTACAGTCCACCTGTACCTTGTCACCTGGGAAGAGGTGGGACTATCCTGTGTGCATTACCCTAGCTTGGCCCTTCACTGGAAACCCTTCAGGCCCAGAAACCCAGCTTTCTCCCACTCAGCCAAAGACAGCAACTCCCCCTGCCCTGAGCTCTAGTGGAAGCAGAGTTTATAAGAGTGGTGAAGTCAGTGATGGTTGCCAGGACAACCCCAGTCTGCTTCTACCAAGCCACCCTTTCATGAAGAAAGGATCCAGTTTGGGGGTTAGTATGGGCAGAAGGTCTGACTTTGGATGGCAGTGCCCCAGACACAGTGCTGGGCTCCTCTAACTGCACATCCCAAGGCAGACCCTGCGCCTCGGGCTCTGCCCCTCTCCTGGGGGACAGTCAGAGCTGTGTGCGCTGAGTCGGGAGGGCCTCTGCTTGCTTTATCTGACATTAAGCAGCAACTGACAATTCCCTCACCTGCTACCCCTTCTAGAAAAGTACACCTCCACCTCAGACCTCAAAGCAGACCTCAGGAGGGGAAGAGGTGTGCCTGCCTTTCCCAGGCCCTCCAAGGGGACCAGAGTCCCCACAGAGGTACTATCTCCACCTTGGGCAGCTAGGGGACAGAGCAGGGCAGTGCTTATGACCGTAGCATGGCACAGCGGTGGTCCAGCCTGGCTCCTGTCCCAGTGCAAACAGCTCTGATGGCCTGCAGGTGGAAGGGAGCGAGCTCCAGCAAAGAACCCCCAAGCGGACACAGGCTCTACAAAGACAGCTTTATTGGACACACTGAGTTCTGCCTGGCCGGAAGCAGCCCTGGGCCATAGCTGCATCACTTCTGCCTAGACGGCTCTGGGTTCGTTTCCTTCTTTTTTTTATTCTTCTTAAGCCACCGAAAGGATGGGAACATGGAGTTCTTAGCTTTTTTCTGGAATTTACAAGGATCTCATTTTATTCTTCTTAAAGGTCAAGGTTTTTCTTGGGGGCTATTTGCTGTCCCTGGTTCTCAGGAACATCATAGAGACAGGGCTGTCTGGTGTCCCCATAGAAAGGTGGCAAGGAAAGGGACCCCAGGCCTCTCTGGTGACTGTCTGGCCAAATGTGGATACAAGGCTCCGGAGAGCTGTGTGTCTGTAGGCTGCACCCAGCCCCTCCCCACAGCCTTGGCCCTAGTGTTTAGGTAGATACCCACCTCCATGTTCAGCTGCTCCACACTGGAGGCTACCCTGGAGTCGCTCTGGTGGTAGAGTCCATCTGCAACACAGAAACCACATTGTAACTGCTGCTGCAGTGAACACCTGGTAGCCAACAGGGAGCTCTACCTAGGATGCTGCAACTCCCTGGGTCCCACCATTGTGGGGGAATTGGGTAAGACAGGAGTGGGCCCCACCCTCCTTCCTAAGGCTGGTTACCCTGTGATTCCTCAGGCTCTGGATTCTCCATTTTGTCCATGAGGTCATTTGAGTTCCACTTGGTGATGTCCTTGGCATGCTTTTCCTCCTTGTGCTGCAGGTTCTCTGGGGAGGAAGAAGGACTTGAGTGTTCCTGGAGCCTGCATATCCAGTGTACCCAGCGGTGTCTTATCCTTCCCTGTCTTAGTAGGCTAGCAGGCAGCTGCAGACCACCTGGCCTTCTGTCCCATTTAGTGTATTCATGATGTTGGGCAGAGATCACCACTATCTAATTCCAGAACATTCTCATCACCCTGAATGTAACCCCGTGCTCAATCCCAAGCAGTTGGGTCTCATAGCATAACCTGAGAAGCCTGCTGCTGTGGTATCTGTGCCCTTTCCCTACAGCAATGGTTCTCAACCTGGAGGTCACACATCAGAGACCCTGCATATCAGATATATACATTATGATTTATAGCAGTAGCAAAATGACAGGTGTGAAGCAGCAATGAAATGTTATGGTTGGGATCAGCACAGCATGAGGAACTGTCTCAAAGGATGGTCGGTCGTATCAGGAAGGTTGAGAACCATTGCTCTACAGTCTTTTTCAACACTGGGTATGTATTTCCTCTTTCAAGGACAAAGTGCCAGCTAGGAGGGGTGGGGCATCAAAGACACCCTTCTCCATTGCTTCAAGTGCAGAAGTTGGCTCAGGATCCCTACCACCTGTTTCCAGGTTGTCTAATTCCAGGACAAGTCAACGAACCTCATTTTTTTTTTGTTGTTGTTGTTGAATATCAAGTCCCCAAGTTTTCTCACTGTCGGTCTGGCTACCCAGTTAATTAAGATGCCATGGGCAGCTCCTCTGTTCTTCCAAGCGATGGCAGAATGAGAGAACCTCACTGTTCAACTGTGGCATGTTCCTATCTTTCTTTTTTATTTCTCTTTTTCTTTCTTCCTTTTTTTAAAGATTTATTTATTTTATGCATATGAGTACACTGTAGCTATCTTCAGACACACCAGAAGAGGGCATCAAATCCATTACAGATGGTTGTGAGCCACCACATGGTTGCTGGGAATTGAACTCAGGACCTCTGGTAGAGCATCTGTCAGTGCTCTTAACCGCTGAACCATCTCTACAGCCCTACTCCCCACCCCCAAATCTAAGCTTCTACCCTTTGCATGCTCCGGCGCTGGCTGTGCTGCCAGCATGCAGTGACCCAGCTTTCCTTCAGGGCCTGCCTGCTGGGTCCTCTGACTTCTCTGACAGCGTATTTGTGGTTCCATACGGGTGAGGTGGTCCTTGCAGCTCCCAGCACAGGTGAGCATTGGCCGTGTGCCACTGTGTGTATTTTTCAATGAGTGAGGACTAGGCAATTTCTCCTTATTGCTTTTTCTAAAGTGTCCACATTAGATGCCTATTAATTTGCATTTAATGAAGAAAAGCAATAACAAACAATAAAGCAAGCACAAAAATTGAGGACTAAATCATACTTCTTATGGAGAAAAATTTATGTGGTGGCTTCCCCATGACCTCATCTCATTCACTATACTCTATCCCCAAGCCCAGGCTGTCTGCTGTGATAGCATGTGGACAGGTAACAGGAGCAGTATAGCGACAGGTGTTTCACACCCTTTAACAATTCTTCCCACCTGACCCAGGAAGGGCCCACAGGCTATAGAGGCGACCTGCATACCTTGTGCATCGAAGAACTCCTCCTCGGAGCCTTCGTCAGAGTCTCTGGCGATACTCTGCATCCTCCACTCAGAGATGCTATGTCGGGAGGGGCTGGCTGGAAGGCAAAACCCTAGTGTGATGGTCCGGCCTGCAGAGGAGGGCTCTGTTGAGCCAGCAAGTAGGGAGTTGTGATGCCATCTTGGAGGGCTAGGTGGGCATCACTAGAGAAGTTTGCCATAGACAGGAATGAAGACACTAGTGGTGGAGTGTCCAGGGTCCATCCGGGTAGAACTGTCTGGTCCTTTCTGAGGGAAAGGAGCACCCTGTTGCCTCATGGACTATGCAGTCTTGTCCAGGGTGAGCTTAAGACAGGAGCTCAGATGAGCCCTGGACCTGACCATATGCAACTCCTTAACCGTGGCCACAGCAGAGCTGACAAGTAAGTGCTGGCTGCAGGGCAGGAGGAGGAGAAGGGAGACTGAGGCATCGACTTACCTCATCCCACACTGTAAGCCCAGGATCAGGCACTCCGGGCTTGGAAGGGGGTTACTGGACAAGGGGGTGACGGGGGGGGGGGCTTACAGTGGCAAGACTGGCCACAAGGGGGTAGGATGGGGAGACCTTACAGGGTCAAGACTGGCCACTCAGTGTGGCAAACCACCTTCCAGGGATACAAGTGGCCACACAGGGGAGACCTTGCTTCATCTCATTGCCTAGAATTGGATACCTTGAAAATATCTTCTCTCACTGGGGAGTCTACCTGGACCTACTCCCCAGATTTCCTCAGTCACAGACTCTTTAGGGATTATGGGTAAGTCTGGGGATGCTGCTTGGGAAAGGCTGGGTTCACTTTACGGTGAAGCCCCACCTGGTACCAGTTAGAAACTAAAAGGCTCCATAGTTGGCTCCACTACATCCACAGGAAAGTAAAAGAGCAACAGGGATACAGCGTGGCCTGGCTACCTTGGAAACTGGGAAGGTAGGCCTTGCACCAGAAGGCAGGAACCCAGCTTACCTCCCCGCTTGGAGGACCTTGAGGACTTGGAGGAGGTGGACCACTGCTTCTTCAGGCCCCGCCCCAGAGGCTCCCCATTGTTGTTGCTGGGTTCAGAGGTTGCTCCAGATACCTGGTCCTTGACAGTACCGTCACTGGTTAGTTCTGAGGGTCCTGTCTCCGAAAACTGGGCCATTTTGCGGGACAGCATGAGCTGCACCTCCCTCTCCAGCTCTCGGATTTTCTCCATGGTCAGCCCATACCATTCGTCCTGCCAGCACCAGGCCTGCCGGTGGGCCCTCACCATCACCCGCCGCAGGCCTGCACAGAGCCAGAGGACAGGGTAAGCTCATGTCAGAGGCAGTATGCAGCAGGGCAAAGCTGCAGCTCAAGCTAGAGTCACTGATAATCTGTGCCTCCGGTTCCTCTTATTGTCAACCTAGAGAACTGGCTCCCAGTGGCCTCAGGAGTTCACAATGGCTATACATCTGGAGGACAAGGCTTTAGTTGGAAGTCACAGTTTATTGTAGGGGATTCATGCCCCAAGGGAAAGTGTCATTGGACTTCCCAAAAGCCTTCTGTCTGGTCTACTTTTCCTGTTAAATTTTCCATATAAGATGAGATTTAAAAATGGGTTGCATTCTCTGTCTGTCTGTCTGTCTCTGTGATGTGTTTGTGTATAAAAGCCAGAGGTCAACATTGGGTGTCTTTCCTCTATCATTTTTCTACCTTATTTTTGGAGACGGGGTCTTTCATTGAACCTAGAGTTTGCAGATTTGGCTAGACTGGGTGACAGCAAGAGCCAGGTACTCTGTCTCTCCCTCCCCAGCACTTGGATTATAACTTACACCATTGAACCTGGTTCTTTAATGTGGGATCAAACCTCAGGTCTCACAATTCTGTGGTAAGCACTTGACTGAGTCATCTCCCTAGCCCCAGCACACATCTTTAACTCCAGCACTTGGGAGGCAGAGGCAGGCGTATCTGTAAGTTTTAGGCTAGCCTGGTCTACACAGTGAGTTCCAAGACAGCCAGGGCTATACAGTAAAACCCTGTCCGAAATCAGAACACCAAAAACCAAAAACCAAGACCAAAAAGAAATCAACAAACAACTACAACGAAAAGCCGGCACACAGTAATCCACCCGGGAGGTGAGGGTAAGAGTTGATGGTCATAAGGGCATCCTTGGCTAATGCTGAGCTGGAGGCCAGACTGAGTCACATGACCCTACTTCCAAAACAACAGCAGTGAGCAAGATGGCTCTGTGGGTAGAGACACTTGGTGCTAAGCCTGGAACCCACACTGTGGAAGGGAGGTTGTCCTCTGACCTCAGCAAGCACTTGCTGCTTTCCCAAAACATTAGCGTTCAGTTCCCAGCACCCACATCAGGCTGGTCACGGCCACCTGTAACCCTGGCTTCAGGGGATCCAATACCCTGCTTTGCCTCCATGGGTATCGGTACCCACATGTACATTCCCACACAGAAACACATGTGCACATACATGGACTTTAACAAGCGCATAAGAAGCAGTCAGCCTTAATGTCCACACCGTCCAGCAAAGCCACAGTGTTCCCAGAGTTGAGGGTTTCCTCCCCACCTTGGACTCCTTGCCGCCCCGCAGCACTGGTTCTGGGGTCCTGGCTTTTGTGTTTGCCGCTTGCTCTGTTGGGCTTAGTGTGCAGCTGTGTTTTTTGCACAGTGTGTTGGAACGGCCTGGCTGGTGCTATTTACATGTGTGTGCTGTGCTGTGCTCTCTGCCCTGTGCCTCTCTGGCTGAGTCTCACCTTTCCCACTCCTGTGTGCTCCAGAGGCGGGACCTGCTGAGGCACGGGACCGACGCATTTGAAACACTGGGTTTCTTGGTTTGTTTTTGTTTGAGTTTGTCCTTTCCATGCTAGTGTGTATAACTTCCTATTTTGTAGCTCTGAACATTTTGAAATAAATATGCATGAGTTTCTCCAGGGGGCATCCTTGAGAGAGGTGATGGCTGGTTCTCAGGGATGTGTCCCCCGCTTTCTCGGAGAATCTAGGTGGCCTTCCGAGAGGCTGAGCTCTGGCGTGTCCTCAGGCTCTCCCCCCTTCTCCCCAACCCTCGCATCCCATGCCTCTTTTTCTGATTTCCCATCACTCTGAGAATCTGGTTGTGGGGCTTCTGCTCACCGGTGGAACAGGATAGAGCTCTCGGTCAGCCAGGCCTGACTATCCCTTGCCTACACCGAGGGTGGTCTCAGACACAACACCGAGGTGCTTCTGTTTCCTTTCCTGGGCTCACAGTCTACTCTCGCCAAGCAGGGAAAGACTTACCCTTGGGCTGGCTGAAAGGGCTGGGACACTGCACTACAGCTGGAGTCAGGCTGTTAGGGTTAGAAGTTAGGGAGTGACCTCTCTAAGACTACTTGTGAGTACACTGATGCTCACAGTGCTCAGACAGGGATGTGTCGTGTCTGCCGGCAGGTCTGCACCCCAGGATACACCCCACAACAACTCTGCAGAACTGGCACTATTATATCCCCTCACAGAGAAGAAACTGACTCAGAGAGGCCATGCTGATGCTGTAATAGCAGTGGGGGAACTGCATGTCACAGCTGTCCTAACTGTCCTCCTTTCTGAGGAGAGACCTGACTTTTAGGAAGCCGAGGAGGTTGGGTTTTGCCAGTATCTCAGGGATTACAGGGGAGGGCCTGGGGCCCATGGAGCCTGGGGACCACTATGTCCAGGACCAGGAGCCCCAAGTAGGCCATATTGGAGAGATTACAGTAAAGGTGGGACAAGCCAGCATGACAGTGGAGACAGGAAATGGCCGGGGCAGCCCCACAGCCCTATTATCAGCTCTCGTGTCACCTATGAGATGAGGTCCGTGCTCAAAACCACAAACAGAAGGCCCAGTGGGGTGGGCCTGCTGACTGACACCCAGGCTGCCTCTAAGACACTGTCCTCCTGGCTGGAGGTCTCAGAGTTAGAAAAGTGGGGAGGTAGTAGGGGGATTTCTTGGGTTGGTCTCAGCTACTATGAGGTTGGACAGACGCAGGGATGTGTCCCATCTGTCTCCTGTCACCCCTGCTGAAGCCTGCTGAGAAGGGAGCAGAAGATCATGTATCTGAGATGCTGCCCTGGGGATGGAGCTGGAGACACTGTCCCTTACTATTGAGGCTGTTGTACACACAGCATTTGTCCCTTTCCAAGTGGGAGGTTCCCTCCTTAGAGCCCAGCACTCTGCTGATAGCAAAAATGCCTTCCACAATCTCTAGAATCCACATGGGCGGGGCTAATGCCACCTCCACTGCCAGTTGAGGAATGTCTATTGTGGGTCCAGTCTATGTGGGGTCTCCATTTCGTCCTCTATAAACAGGGCAATGGTGCCCCCATGACGGGTAATCATGAGTCTACAGGATGAGAGCGGGGCACGCTGTCAATGGTATGGCTCTACTCGTGCCTAAGGTAAGTCTCCCTCGTTTGTGGTATCTCACGGTGACTGCCTGGGTGCTCCTGTGAAGTCATGAGTCCAGGGCTCCAAGAGAAGAGAAGGAAAGCCTTGGGCAGCATTCCTTGGCTGGGAGCCCCCAGGCATCTGTTGGCCCACCTGTTCCTCAGACACCTGCTCTGAGAAGGGCCATGTGGCTGTGAAGGGCACTATCTCTGAGCCGCTCTGCCATCTGGACGTTCTAGCCTGTACAGAGGCAGCGCTATGGCCCAGCTACGGTTTGGACCTCTTCAGGTAGAGGGAAGAAAAGCTTGAGAGGCCCCAGCGGCAGATGGGGGCTGGGGGGCTGTCTGCAGAGGCTTCTGGCATGAGTGTGGTGCAGGCTACACTAGCATATACCAGCCAGGTCAGGAACGTCTGGGCAGTGGATGAGGCATCTGCACAGAGAGCAGGCACACTGGTCACGGATGGCCAAGACAGAGTGGAGACAGGGAGGTGGGCGCAGGCTCTGGGGTCTGTGGTGGCTGGTCTTGCTCGTCAACTTGACGACATCTAAATTAACTGAAGCCAAAGAAAGCTGTGCACATCTGTGAGAGATTTTTCTTGATCGGATCGTTTAAGGTGGTAAAACCCACCCAAAACTGGAGCCATACCTTCTGGTGGCACCCTAAATAATGAGCATGAAAGACAAAATCTCCTGCTCTTCACCCACTTGCTCTCACTCTGACTAGCAAGTCCATATCTTCATTAGCATTGGAGCCCACTTTTTCAGGATTCCAGTGTACACTGAAGACAAGCTGAGACATCCAGCCTTGTGGACTGAACAACCATTGGATTCTTGGACTTTTCATCAGGAGACAGCTACAGCTACTGTTCGATTACTTGGACCACATCCTGTACATTATTCTAATAAATACTGTCTTCATTCATTCATTCATTCATTCATTCTCTCTCTCATTCACGAGCTCTGTTTCTCTAGGAAATCCTGACTCAATACAGGGTCACCACTTAGTAGTCAACTGTAAGAACACAATCACAGCACATGGAGAGTGGAGGCAGACAGGTAGGCACACACTCACCTGTGTCATGGATGAACCTCTCAATTTTGGACTGCATGCCCCAGTATCGGAATTCCACCTTGCAGAGCTTGTAGGCGCACATGATGGGGAGGAGCCGCTTCTTGTACTCCTGAATCCAGTTTTCAGAAAGCGGTCCCCGACGAGTCTTGGCTGACTGGAATAGCTTGGGGTCTTCCTCTGCCTTATATTCACTGGGGGGCACAGGGTCCTTGACGATGTCGATGATGTCTATGGGGACACCCTGCAAATGGTCACGTCTGCCTAACTTCTATCCACCCTTTCCAGACCCTCTACCCTAAGTTCTTACAGGGCCCAAGGCTCATCATATATGCTGTGTGCGTGTGTGTGTGTGTGTGTGTGTGTGTGTGTATGTGTGTATGTGTGTGTTGAGGACCACTGACTCCCTGAATCTTTCCTATCGTGCTTGTGTGTGTGCGTGTGTGTGTGTGTGTATACGTGTGTGTGCGTGCGTGTGTGTATACGTGTGTGTATACGTGTGTGTGTGTGTGTGTGTGTGTGTGTGTGCATGTCACTGGGGATTAGACCTAGTGCCTCACGTGTGCTATATGAATGTTCTATCATTGGGCTATATCACCAACCCTATTTATACTCTTTATTTTGAGACAAGGTTGTACACTAAGTTGTCCAGGCAGGCTTTGAACTTGTGATCCTTCCATCTTAGCCCATACTATATGGCCCAGGTCTTGTAGCTTTCTCTGTAGTCAGCTTGAGAAATCACGGTGCACATGTGCAGTTAAGTGAGCCGGTAAACCAATGGGAGAAGGGTTTCCATGAAGAACGATAGGGTAGGGAGGACACACAGGGGGTTGGAATCTTTCCAGAGCAGGGTGGCATTTTAGACAGAGTAGAACTGGGAGCCCAGACAGTCCTTGTAGCACTGGTGCTGGACTGAGGTGGGATCTCGGGACCACTAGGGTGCCTGCTGGGGACAGGGGACTACTGTGGAGGTGATAGAGAATCTGGAGCCTGAGGTCACTCCAGGTCCAGACAATACAATATGGGCCAAGCCCACCCATGGTATTCTCAAACGGCATGTACACTTATAGAGAGGAAAAAGTCGACAGTCTTGGCATGCACATCAAGAGCATGGAAGTCTGTCCTGCCTCACTCTGCCCTGCCCCCCAGCTGAGAATCCAATGTACTCTCAGGATGAGATCAGGCAAGGGCAGAGGGCCACAGCCGGGGTGGCCTGGGGGTGGGAGTGCTACCTGCAGAGCTTCAGCCTTCATGCTTACCTGTTACCAGCTGGTTCTTTTCCACGGGAGACAGGTTGAACACATTATTGTTTTCCCCAGTGTCTGTCTTATAAAAGGTTTCAATGTCAATGGAGAACTTCTCCACAAAGGGGCAGGTGAACCTGAGAGAAAGAACATCCACTGGGACTGTACCCTGGAGGGACTGTGACTAGTTAACAGCCTGTCAGACCACACTGGAAACCAGCAAGGTGACCAGGTGGGTTGAATGAGAATAGCCCCCACATATGTCTGAGTTCTTAGTCCCTAGTTGATGGACCTGTTTGGGAAGGATTATGAGGTGTGGCCTTGTTGGCAGAGGTACGGCATTGAGGGTGGGCTTTGAGGTTTCAAAAGCCCACACCGTCCCTGGTTAGTGCTCTCTCTTTGCTTCAAGCTTGTGGAGAAGGTGAAAGCTCTCAGCTACTGCTCCAGCACTATTACCGCCTGCCTGCCATGATGGTCATGGACTCATCCTCTGAAACTGTAAGCCTCAATAATGTCTTTCTCCTACAAGTTTACTTGGTCATGGTGTCTCTTCACAGCAGTAAAAATGTCAATAAGGCACTGCAGACAGGGTTGGCTAGGATGTAATAGGGAAGTCTCTTTCCTATATTACCATCTTGTCCAAAGACTGGCCAAGAGAGCTTTGGGGAGAGAGAGACAGGGATGAGATCTGATGAACTTCCTTGGTAGCTTCTAGAAGCCCCACATATGGTATCCATGTGAGTAGGTTTGGTAGAAATGCATACACAGCTACAATGGCAGTGTGCTATAGTCAGCAGATCTGCCCGACACTCCTGGCTCACACCTGCACTAAGCCCACTCTGACAATAGAATGGCTCCTCTCTGGGATGGAGAAGAACTCTCTGAAATCCTAAACTAGCTGCCAGGACTCTCCAGGAGTGGGGTTTGTTGGGAGGAAGCCCTGGGAGACTAGAGAGGATTGCCCTTGGTCAGTGCGAGCTAGCACTGAGAAGCAAAAAGTGAAGAACTCCTGCTGGAGTCCTGAGAAAAGTCCTGCTACTGTGTATTAAACACTGCTACAGCAGCTGAGTGTCCCAAGGGTGGGAGACCTTGGACCATCTGGTCTACCTTCAGTTCATACTTCTTCCCAGCAGGCTGTCTCTGTCTATGGGAACTTAGTGAATGTTTATTCCCTGAACTTTCCTGCTTGCATGACCTCAATTGGTATTTCTGGGAGGCAGGCATCCAGGGGCATCCTTCCCTTTCCTGCATGTGACCAACTATAAGCCATTAGGGGACATATGTGAGACAGGGTTTGATACTTTCAGGGGAGCCAGAGTTGAACCTGCCAGGAGAGTTCCTGGATACATGTGGCAGAGTTCCTCCAGCAGATGGCATGCTGAGGAGGCAGAGGCAGACGCACCTTGTTCGGGTATAAGGGTAGGCATTCCAGGACTCCTCCACCACCCGCAAAGCTGCCTTGGGCAAGATGGAGCGAAACCAGCCCGGAATGTGCATGCCCACATGATACACCTTGTGGGTGTACTGCCCAGAGCCTCCAGGACCATCTGTGTAGGGCCGGTTCTCCAGGATCTCCACTCCGCTGCCTTGTCCGTAGGTCTCATTTCTGCTCTTCTTCTGTGGGGGCAAACATGTTGATGTTCAGTCAAAGTACTTTGCACAAGAGAAGGGGCTCAGAGGACTGAGAACAGGAAAGATCTCTGGCCTTGGGGTTGGCTCCTTCGGTGTCATTTCAGGACACCCTAGCCTCCTACATCTACACTGTGGCTCCATGACCCCAAGCCTCCTGATGGAAGTGAAAAGAGTCCCGGATTTCCTCTTTGAGGTCCAAGTATTAAAAAGCATACATCATCTATTCTGACTCCTACCTATCCTAGGAATGAGCACCAAGATGTACGCTTTGCCTAATCTTTGAGACAGGGTCTCTGGCTGACCGGAACTTCCTATGTAGACCAGATCTGCCTTCCCAGCCTCCTGAGTGCTAGGATTAAAGGTAAGCATTGCCACATCTGGCCTCTTCTTTCTTTCTTTCCTTTGAGACAAGGTCATTCTATATAGCCCGAGATTTGCATTTCTTCTGACTCAGCCTCCAACTGGGATTAAGTATTTGCCACCATGCCAGTGTTGGATGGCTGCTTTTCTGCTTCCACTCAGTTTTGGACTGTTTGTTCCAGCCACAATAATTAGGCAAGAAAAATAAATAATAAGAGGCATCCACACTGGGAAAGAAAAAGTAAACCATCTTAGTTTGCTGAGGACATAATCTTTATATAGAGAACTCCAAGGAATTTTCCTTAATTCTCTTAGGCTTAATTAAATGCACTCAGCAATGCTTCAGAACACAAAATTAACACACAAAGTGGAAGAACACAAAAAGGAAACTGGTTGTGTTTCCAACAGCGTTTTCAACAACAAACAGGGATATGTTTAAATAGAGAAGCGAGACGCTTGTACACTGAAGACCACGAACCCAAAAGAAATCAAAGACCTAAAAACTGGAAAAGCATCCATCCTTTCTGCAGAGGTTAGGAGATGCAATACTGTTAAGACAACAATAATCCCCAGAAAGCCTGCAGGTCCTGTACAATCTCTAGCAAAGTTCTAGTGGCTTTTTCTTTCTTTCCTTCCTTCCTTCCTTCCTTCCTTCCTTCCTTCCTTCCTTCCTTCCTTCCTTCCTTTTGTAGGAGCAAATGGATGTTGAAATTCATGTTATTGCAGGAGATCCCATAGCTGAAACAAACAAACAAACAAACAAACAAACAACCCTAAAGCAAGCTGGAAACTCATACCTCCCAGTGTCACACAATCTTATACTTGAGTGCCTCGTTATTCAGTGGCCAGAAGGTGGATGCCATCCATCTGACCACCAGCTGAAGAAAGGGTATACACTGGACCAGGGAGATGGCTCAGCGGGTCAGAGTGCTTGCTGTGCACACATGTGGACCTGAGTTCGGATCCCTGGGAGCCATGTAAAGCCACGTGTGGCTGAATGCTTGCCCATAACTCCAGCACTGTGGACGGCAGAGACAAGTTCAGTAAGAGAACTGTCTCACAATAATAAGGCAGCAAATAGTAGAACAGGCCTCTGGCCTCTGCATGTTAAGACACTTTGCTCGTGACTGTAGGAGTCCTTGGGGTATACAGGTTTGCTGGAGGCTGAGAAAGTTCTGTTTCTAGACCTGGCACTGCTCACGAGGGTATATTCACTTGATGTGAGCCCACCACAGTGGTACTATGAATCATGTACTTCCTGTACATGCAAAAGTTTTAATTAAAGGTAATGAATGATGGTCAAGTGCTTGGCCCTAACTGGGACATATACATCACCCATCCAAGGCTCCAGGAACATTGTGGAATTGGGGACAGAAAGAATGTAAAAGCCTGAGGGTGGGGAGGTGTGCCACAAAAAGCCGTCTTCTGGTCATTCTGTTCGTGAGCTCACTGCAGCCAAATGATCCAAAGCTGTACAGGACTGGGGGAAGGACTCAGGAGGGACGGTGGCAGTTGATGGCAGTGTGGGGAGGGGCTGTCGCTGTCTTCAATGGTGTAGCCACTGATAAGTAGCCTATGCTACAGGAAACAACCTCCCGCCATGCTAATACAAGTAACCCTGATTAGACTCACTGGGCCACATGCACACAAAGGGACATAAAACTAGGAGGGGCCTTCTACAGAAGAAGGGTCTCGGTGGGACGGAGCGGGTTTGAGACAGTGCAGCAATAAGGGGTAGAGACAACTAAAGTCCACTATGCACATGTAGAAAATGGTAAAAAAATTAATGTTTAAAAAGTGGAGAGTGGCATGGTGCTCATACTTGGGATTCTAGCAGAGGCAGGGGAATTATGAATTCCAGTTCAGCCTGGCCTATTTCACAAATTCCCCCTGAAAACACCCACCACCAAAACCAAAAACCAAAGATGGCTCAGTGGGTAGGGTACCTGCCGCCAAGCCTGACAGTGGAAGGGAAAACGGACTCCTGAAAGTTGCCCTCTGACTTCCATGCATGTATCATGGAATACATGTCTCTGACCGTCTAACCCCCAAATAAGGGAAAATAATGGTTTTTGTTTGTTTATTTTGGTTTTTTTTGGGGGAGGGGTGTTTGAGAGACTCTATGTCAACTTGGCTCATTATGTAGAATGTAGACCAGGCTCACAGAGATCAGCCTGCCTTTGCCTTTCTCTCTCTCTCTCTCTCTCTTTCATTTTTTTAAAAAAGATTTTATTTATAGGAGTACACTATCGCTGTCTTCAGACACACCATAAGAGGGCATTGGATCTCATTACAGATGGTTGTGAGCCACCATGTGGTTGCTGGGACTTGAACTCAGGGCTTCTGAAAGAACGGTCACTGCTCTTAACCACTGAGCCATCTCTCCTTTTTTTTTTTTTTTTTTGCCTTTCAAGTGTTGGGATTAAAGGTGTGTGCCTTCATGCCTGGCCCAAATAAACGTAATTTTTTAAAGTGAAAAGAAATCTAGAAATAGCCAAACCAATGAGAAATCTGTTTCAGAGTCATACTACAAAGGAATCTCTACTGCCACAAGAAGCTTGGGCTTTTGAGGACAGCCACTGGTCCTTGTGTGCCTCTGGAGTAAGTGTGAGTGTGGTCTGCATGGCTCCAGAGTCCAGATAGCCTCTGGTTTGTTTCTGAGACAGGAGTGAGGGTACAGGCTCAGATAACCCTCCATTCCCCATGCCTGGAGGCCTGGGAACACTGGTGAGGAGGGCCCAGCTGTTTGACGTAGGCGTTGATGCTGTCATATGGTATCGAGGACAGAGAAGAGCTGGCCTTGGATCTGTAAGGCATCAGATAGGACCACTCATGGGAAACACCGGGGCTGAGATGTACATGCTGTGGGCAATGAAAGAGCTGCAGAGATGTGGGGCTCCGGAGGGGATGTCCAGCTTGAGTAGACACCTTCCAGACCCTATCTCGGTCTGCACCTCATCCTCAAATGGTAAAACGGGCAGTCCATTCTGTAAGTGAGGAGACTGAGGTACAGGGTACTAGGGGCAGCTCACCCAAGGCCTCTGGGACAGTGTGGAGACAGAGAGGAAAAAGCTGCTAAAAGCTTGAATCTCAGAAACTGCACAAGCATCCCCTCCTGCTGAGTGGGTTTGGTCCCAGGCTACTGGTCTGTAAGAGAGAGGCCAGCCATGCTGGTGGTGCTGGCAGATACCATGTGTATGCAGGGATGTGTATGCCTTGCTGCCTCCTCCAGGCTGCTGCCAGAGTTCTTCTCTTCAGAACATCTAGACCACATAAGCCCTGCTTTGAGCCATCACTCTTCAGTCTCCCAGGTGAGCAATGCTGTTATACCTGATTTACTTCAGAGAGGCCCATAACAGGGGCTGTCTGGAGAGACCCCTAGGAGTGATACTGGGGTGGAATTATCTGTCCAGGGATCAGCATCTAACTACGGAGCCTGAGGACTGTGGCCCACTACTGGGCTGCTGGTCAGGATGGACATGTGACTTTTCTGTGCACACATGTGAGACATGCGTGTATGTGTGTGTGAGCCAAGAGTGCATGGATTCAGAGCTCTGCTGGACAAGACAGAAGGACAATGTTCTTACAGCTGCCCGTGGATGGATGTGGTATCTTACACCTGTACTCTCTGCATTTGGGAAGCTCAGCCCGCAGGACTGCTGTGTATTTTGAGGTCAGCTTGGACTACACAGTGAGAATCTGTCTAAAGAGAAAACTAATGGGGGTAGGGGACAGACAGACAGAGACTTACTAGGAGGACATTCCATTTGTCATGCGTGGAGACGCTGAGGAACAGGAATCAGGTCTGATCCCTCCCACTCAGCCAGAGTGACAGAGAAGCTAGGAGGCAGCAGAGGTTTTGGCATCACATAGGACCATACACTCCCTAATGGACATGACTCTCTTGCTGGCTACTGTTGACAGCTCATTAACAACCCATTTCCTGATGCAAGAGCTAAAACTCTTAGAAGAAATAAGTTTTTATGACCTTGGATTGGACAACGGTTTATAAATGTGACACTAACTGTTAAGATTGTTTTTAAGACAATCTTAGCTGGAAAGGGGAAGGGAGGCGTGGTCTGATCTTAGGTGGGGCCATGTTTATTGATAGCAAGGGGCACCTTCTTGCTCATGGGTGCCAAGGGCCAAAATGCCTACAGGGGAAGATGGATAGGATGCACTCCCTTACAGAGACAGAACTGGGCAGAAATGACTTCCATAGTCCACAGGGGAAGCTGGAAGTATAGTCCTTCAGCAGGAAACTAGAAAAAAACATAAATCACACATGCACACAAAACAGATAAACAGGACTTAATGAAAATAACATGCTCTAAAGAAAGAAAGTTAAAAGAACTCATGTAATGATAGAGAAAACACGTCAATGATGTGATCTGATGCCAGGAATTTGGATCCAAGAGAGTGCCTACTACTCAACAACAGACAAATAACACACTTCACAAATGGCCCAAGGACTAGAACAGTCACGTCTCCACAGAAGACATGCAAATGGCCACTGAGTGTCTGAAGGATGCTCAACAACACAAATGAAAAACACAAACTGAAACCAGTGAGCTAGCACCTTGAACCCACTGGGATGGCTACAAAGGTAAGCAATGGCAAATGAGGGAAACAAAGGAGGCCCTGTGGCTAGTGGAGGCAGAAACAGTATAGCAGTTCCTCAGACTAGCGATTTTACTCTCAACACACTCAAAACATGGGGAAATATATTGAACCTCTGTGGTGGTCACTTTCAACTATGAACTTAGCACAAGGTAGAGTTGCCATGGGAAGAAAGCCTCACGGAGTTGTTCTGTCCCTTCCTCATAGGGGCTAAAGCTGGTGATGTCCTTCAGGCATAGGGTACCCAAGCTGCTGACATCACCAGGTGAGGGCTATGGATGGTTGCAGTCACTCAGTGAGATGGGTATAGAGACTTGTGGGCCTTAAGGGCTGGAATCTACGCAGCAACCCTATATAGCACTAGGGTACCTCCATGGAATAGATGGAGAGAGGGTGGCCAAATGAACGAATAACCAATGGGGTCTAGTCTTCACGATCGTCAGGAATTCTGAAGGTGCTGTCCTCTACCCCTGGGACTCCACTGACCACAGCAGTGAAGGGGGGAAACACTCCTCACATAGGTGTGGCTCAGCCATACCAGACAAACAAGCTCCCTTAGCTTCCGCTGTGCGCTACCCACAGAGGAAGCCACACTCACATGCTTGCCCATGACTATTCCTAGGGAGTATGTAGTGCTGCCCACTCCTGGAGTCTTGGGTGGGCAAACAGCCTTCAACCTCCATGGGACTGCTGGAGAAGGAGAGCTGCAAAAAGAGAAACGCCTCCCTAGCAGTGCCTCAGAACTGTCCAGGGTACTGATCACGCAAGCCCCTCTGCCCATCCCCAGGACAAAAAGGTCTGGCTGAGCACTCTCTAGAGGACAGCACACAGGGCAGTGATTTCCACTAGCCATCACATTGCTGGTACAGAGCCTCAGGCAGAGGAATGGCTCTGACTTGCTGGCTTTGTCTTTCCCACAGCCTGTTCCAGCTGCTGCCAGATAAACCTCCTTGGTCCTCTTTCCCTGGGAATGTAGCTGTGGAAGACGCTGGCTGGCTCTTACAGCATCTGCTTGGGGTGTACCTAGACCTGTCTCCCACTTCTCAGCCTTAGCCACTCCTGCCTGGCTTTCATTTGGTACATCTACAGTTTTCCCTAAAATAGTCTTTGTACAGGTGGGGACAGAACACCGTGTTACTGTGGTACAACTGGCACACAGTGAGCTGTGCACACATTCAGGTACAGCCTATGACTGTCATATATATTCACCCTCCAGTGGTACGGGCCCTCAGGAACTCTGGGTTCCGAGTCACAGAAGACAAACACCATAGCAGAAGCAGAGGGAGTGAGCAGAGAAGCAGACAGGGGCAGGAGCTAGGAAAGAGGCACTCATAGCCCCTGTAGCAGCAGAGAATGCTGGGTATAGAAATGATCTACTGGCCACAATGAGATGAGTAGAGCCTCCAGAGATAGAAATCTGGCTGTGAGTGGGCGTCTTAGGAACAGGCAGGACATAAGCACACAGGCTCCATCCCCCACATTTGGATTGCCTTAGCTGGCCTCTTGCTGAGCCACTTGTTCTGCCCTTAGGCCTGTTGGCTACAGCTCACTCCACTTTCAACAAGGACCAGCTAGGAGAAGGGCTGGGGCAGAGTAGGCCTCCTCAGGTGCCTCCCTCCTTCTTCTGGATGAACAGCATTTTGTTTTCCCTCACTATCCCCTGTACTCTGGCCAAGCATGGGCTCCCTCATATCTGCGACTGAAAGTGGATTCTTCCTGACCCTGTCAGAAGCTCAAAGCCTTCTAAGAGCCGACAGGCCCTCTGGAAGGTGGGGGAGCTAAGTTCCAAATTTAGCTCAATTTTCCCATCTATAAACAGCAAAGTTTATTTTGAGAGCCCTTCCAGGGCACTGCCATTTAAGAAACTAGCTTATGTAAGAAACTGAGGGGCCAAGCATAGTGGTGCATGTCTTTAATCCTAGGACTCATGAGGCAGAGGCAGGAGAATCTCTAAGTTTGAGACCAGCCTGGTCTTACAGAGTGAGTTCCAGGATAGCCAGGGTTACACAGAGAAACCTTGTCTTGAAAAACAAAACACAAACAAAACAAAAATCAAATAGTAATTAATACCCAGGAAGACTCACTTGTTTCCCAGAGCCAGAACTCAAGCCAGGTTCAGCTGGGAAAGCCTACACTTCCACCTATAGAGTAAGATCGTTAGCTGTGCTACTGTCTGGAAACAGACCACACCTCAACCTCTAGAAAGCTGATATACTGGGGTCCCTGATATCAAGATGAAATTGTGGTCTTTCTGTTTGAAACGGTAGGCTTTGCCACTCAGGGACTCAACTCACCTTGCCTTTCTGCCACTGTGGCCCATGAGGAAAGGCTGGAAGACAACCTTCGTTATTTGGGCAGAGCATGGGGTCCACTCACAGAGAACACAGTTTTAAAGGGACTACACTGGCCATGAAAGCTTCCAGAGAAGTATATCATACCTCTATGGGCCTTTCAGGCTGATGGACACTGGAGTGGGGCTGTGCAAGGTATGTAGATGGATGTGTGCACATTTATGCACATGTGAACACATCTGTACATGTATATGCTAGCCATGCTTCCCAGCCTCCCTCTGGGCATGATAGCTAGCACTTGGCCCGGACAGTCCTCTTGTGACAATATCTGGCGTGCTCACCATTCTGTCCTTTGCAACCACACACTTGCTCACTGGAAGGGGTATGGGGAAAGACTTTGGAAGTTCACAGCAACAGAGAGGGGCACTTGTGACAATGGTGTAGACACGTATGACCTATCAAGGAGGAGACGCTTCTGCTTACTACAGTCTCAGCTAGCAGATCAACATTCATCAAAAGTATAAATTGGCTCAGTGGACCGTGTGGTCCGGATACAGATGCTGTGGATCACTTCACAATTAAATTGACTGGAAACACAAGGACTGATGCTGGGGAATGACAGGCGTCCGGAGCTGCTGAGTAACGGTGATTCCACACTTGAGAGATACTCTGGGGCTGGAGGTCATGCTGCTGGACCCTGAATGCCCAGCTTGGGGAGCCACTGGGACTGCACCACCATGACCATGGGTCACTGCTGGAGAGGGAATGTAGAAGCCACAGACACATGGCAGCCTCAGCGGATGAGTCTGGTCCTTGAACAGACTGAGTTATTTCTAGAGTGCTCAGGGCTAGGGCCTGATTTAAGCTCTTTCTCTCCCGCTCTCTAGAAATAATTAAGGGGTAAGTGGTTCAAGAGGGAATTGAGAGGCGCTTCTGAAGCATCTCAGAGCAAACAGTCCCCCAGAGAGGCTGGGGGCACTTCCTGCTCATTTCCCAGCCAAATCTCTCCTGTGGGAGCTGGCTAAACTCTAGTTGCTTCAAGCTCCTTAGATAGGTTCTGGGTCCCTAGGCTGAAGGTGCAAGCCTTTCAGAAAGGGGGGAAGCTGGGCATGGTGGGGCACTCACTCCACTTAATCCCAGTGCATGGGAGGCAGAGGCAGGTGGCTCTCTGTGAGTTTGAGGCCAGCCTGGTTTACAGAGTGAGTTTCAGGACAGCCAGGGCTGTTATACAGAGAGACCCTGTCTAGAAAAACAAAAACAAACAAAACAACCCAGGTAGGGGGTGGAAGCTCTGAAGGCTGTACCCTTCCCCGAGCCCTAAATACTGAAGGTTCAGGGATGACGCAAGGACTAGAGGTTTATACACAGAGAAGCCAATAAGGTACAGGTCCCAGTGGACAACAGGAACAAGAGGCTCCAATATATCCAGAAGAGCTAGAGTCAAGCCAAGAGATGGCTCATAATTGGTGTGGAGGCTCTGGGCCCTAGGCATGGAGGAAAATCTCTAGGATTGGTGAGAGGATAGCTGTAAAGCGGGGACGGAAAGTTCTGTAGAGCAAGAACTCCAGTCAATACCTCAGCAATGTGGGCAGTGGGCAGGTCTGACATTTGGGTGAGAAGCATCTGGAATGAACGCTAGGGCTTGGGGAATGTGTTCTCAGCTGGTCAGGCATTGAGGAAAGAGTTCGTGGAGTTTCGTTGGAGTGGGCATGACTAAACTTGTGATATATCTCATTACACTGTCAGACAGTGGGCGTCAGGAGCCAGGCTGTGTGCTCCCGTACGATCTCTTAGCCCCTCTTGCCTCACATCCCCGTCTTAAATGTGTCTCCTCCAATTCCTACACTGAAGCTCCAACTCCCGGCGTGATAATCTACGGAGGCTGAATATCTGTGGATTACTTAAGATTTATACAGCAGCATGGGAATAGGTCCTCCACGAAGGGACTAACGTACTTATAGGTAGAAGAAAGACTGCCATCACATGCCCAAACCCAGTGTGAGAACACGGGAAGCTCAGGAAGAGAGGTTCCTGTCAGAAACCCACCCTGCCATGCCTTTATCTTGGAAGTAGCTTCCAAAACAGTAATGGGGAGTCTGTGGCAGTACCCAGTAGTGTAGGCTGAGACTGATCCAACTTAACCTGGTCCAGCCGCCTCCCGGACTCACCTGTATCATGTACAGCTGGGCGATGCGGTATTCCTCCACGGTCATTGGCAGGGGAATCCGGTATTCCTTTATGATCATCTTGGAGTCCACGCCTTCCGGGCGGCAGGGAACTGAGTGCTTGTGGGGACTTTCTAGGCAAGATTCCTTAAATAACCATGACAGAATTCAATGAAGACCCTAGAGAGAGAGAGAAAGAGAGGAAAAAAAACCAAAAAACAGGAGAATCACTTTGTGCAATCTGGTGGGTGTGCTAACAGAGGAAAGCCAAGGTCTAGACCTGAGGCTAGAATTCTAGTCTCAATCCTCTCAGGCCAACGGTGAGAGGAAATTCCTCACCTCTCCAGCCTGCGTTTCCTTGTTTGCTGAGCAGTCTTGAAGAGAGCTGCCACCCAAGGACTCAGAGACAGGCTGTGTGACCTCTCCCATCAACGGTCTCTGGGTAGTAAAGGTCATGGTTGCCTCAGAGGTTCAGTACTGTCAAGTGGAGGCTGAGCACAGGTTTCCCAGATGGGGAGGGGTTGGACAGGATCACGTCAGTGATGGCCGTCATGGTTCACGGTGGCCTGGGGCTGGTTAAGGGGTAAGAGTAGCTCAGGGTACTAATCTATATATAAACATTGCCATGGCTCTATAGCACATGGGTTTCCAGTGAGCTGAGAAACTTCAGATCTGCCAAAAGGATGGAAAGAAACCCTTCACAATACTTAGGTCCAGAAATGGACCAGCGCTGTCCTGTGTCAGCCAAAATTACTTCTTCGCATAATACATAATTTAACCCAAAGCTCATAGGTGTCACCGACTCAAGTTCCCACATTCATTTGGGTTATCATCCACATATCTCTACAAATCCTACGAAGTTGAAGCTGCATCTGTTGGCCAGAGAAAAGGCCTAGAGCAGCAGGCAGACTCAGAGCCGGTGTACTCCCTCACTGCACCAGGGTAAGTACAATGACATGTATGTCACATTTTATCATTTGAGCCGTGGAACTCAGACACTCTATGGCAGTCTAGGCTGGCCATGCTTCCAGGCTCTTCATCAGTCACTCACAGCAGACCACCTGCTCTCTTGCCTTCCTGGCCTACCAGGCCAGGCTGCAGGCTTCTAGCCTAGGGTCAAAGTAGGATGTGCAGGCTAGACAAAGCATGTTCTTTAAAGGTCTCGGTCCCTCAAAGACGTCCAGGGATGAAATCTTAAGAGGCTGGTCAGCTGTGGACACCAGTCGTCTCTTAGCTTTCAGAGGCTCTGTGGGCACATCTCTAAAAACAAGTACATAATGACACTCTCTCCAGAGACAAGCTGTAACCACACAGATGGTGTCCACCCTTCCACACGGGGACCAAAGACAGAGACACAGTGCCAACACTAAAGGCATAGGATTCTGGGTGGCTCCCTCAACCCAGGAGAGTGAGGTTATAAGCAAAGCTTAGTCCTAAGAGCACTCTGAGAACTGTCAGACAGTGAAGACCAAGACTGCAGCTCCATTGCAGGCTGGGTGAAACACGGGGACTGTGTTGTGCTTACAAGGAACTACGGCAGCAAGCAGGCAGGCAGGGAGCTACTCAGACAGTAGGAAGGGACAAATAACTAGCACTGTTACCACCAAGTGTACAGTGATCAATAGCGACAGAGAGGACTCAGTTCTCAAAGTGACAAAATGTGACAGGGTCACAGGGTGGCATTCCCTGTGGGATCTAACTGCAAAACTTAACATTATTTTCCCAGTTGTGTGGCCCCTAGGATACGCTGCTGTGAGGGAGGGAAGAAAAGAAAGACAGAAACTTAGTATATACACTGCTCAGGTGAGCG